TTATTTACTAACTCTAACTGTTCATTTAACATAACAACTAAATCCAACAAGTTAATGAAAAACAAATTCTATAACAAATGTTCGAATAAATGACCTCCATTTTCTAGGCATAAGTACGCCCGTCTCACGGTAGACTCCAAAACACGACTTAACATTTCAGGAGTAATTTTATTAAACGCTGCTCGTACTGATTGACGTAATTGTTCCTCGTTGTCAAAACATTCTTTGAATACCTCATTTTTTATGTAGCCCCATAAGAAAAAGTCCAAGGGAGTTAAGTCCGGGGACCTTGGAGGCCAAGGTGTTTCACTGTAAGTCCCAATGTATTTTCCATCAAACCGTTCAGTTAAATATTGGCGAACTTCTCTGGAGTTATGGGCTGGGGCACCATCTTGTTGGAACCAGCAGCCTTGCACAGCGTCTAGCGGTAAATCATCTAAGGCATCTTCTAAATCGTGCCTCAAGATGTCAAGGTACCGCTCGGAAGTTAAGGAATTATTATAGAAAATAGGGCCTATAATCTTGCTACCAAAAATCCCACACCAAATATTAAACCCAAAGCGAACTTGATGTCTGGATAGTCTATTAACACGTGGATTTTGTTGCGACCAATAGTGTGTATTGCGCCTGTTATAAATACCGTTATTGGTCACCATACTTTCATCAGACGAAATCACTTTATATGGAAAATTAAAACTCTCATCACACATCCTGGTATACCACTCACAAAAATGTCTACGTCGTTCGTCGTCACCCGGTTTTAATCCTTGACATATTCTGAATTTGTAAGGCTTAAATTCATTTTTCCTTAAAATAAACTGAGCTGTAGATTTAGCTACCCCATTCTGGTCTTCAATTTCTCTGGTAGAAGTTTGTGGATTTTCGATAACAGATTGTAGAACAATGTATTGGTTTTCTTCATTGGAAGGTTTTTGTCGGGATAATGCAGGCTTCTTAAATGATCCATATTCTTTCAGATTAAATAACAAACGCCGAAAAATACTCTTGTCAGGTTGTCTCCGCTCTGGGTATTTGTTAGAATACATACGCTCGGCTTCCACACAATTTCTTTGGCATCAGATGTAGCAAGACAGCATATCACATTTTTCTTCGTTGGTAAAATTACCTCCCTCCATTGTGGAACAAAATAAATTAGAAAAAGACAACAACAATAAAAATACAAAAACAATAACTAAAGGAATAAACTTATGATCGACTGATAACAAAGACAAATAACATTAATGTATCATTGAAATTGACTGGATGTCATTTTGTCATGGCCTACTCCATTTAAATGCTGAAATGTATTAAAAATCCATTTTTCTGGATAAAAACATAAGTAACCATATTGTATCGTACATCGTTGAATTCGCAATGAAAAGCATAACCTAATACTGTGTGTACTTTTTTTCCGTCCCATAAGAAAATTCAAAGTTGATGGTGGTTCCATGGAATCGAAACGCTGTAATGAAAATTTGTTAACGTCAATTTGGAGAGATTAAAAAGTGCCAATGGAAAAGTGTTTTCCGTTTTTTCATATCTTTTCAAATAGCTTTAAAAAATAATAAAAACGAAATCGCAATATTTCGGTTTTTCTCGGATATTTCCGGAACGGCTTGGAATTTTCAAATTTGTAAAACGGGATCTTGTTCGGTATCAAAATGCGCAACTTTTGTCTAATTTAACCGACACTGTATCTCTTATAGTTTCCGAGATCCCCATGCTGTGCATCCTTATCTTGGACACACTGTATAATGTAAAATACAATTGAAAGATCTCTAGACTAACAACTTGCTTTAAATGCTTTAAATTGCACCTCGACAATATGTTTTTCCAAAGTTAGATTTTGGTCTTTTGATGCACTCCAAGTTATCCAACTGGGTGATTTGTTCGGGTAGCCTGGCGCAAGGTAAAAATTAATGATAGCAATTGTGTTTCATTGATGCCCAAATTATATACCAAAAACCACTAGATTTCCGATCACATGTCAGAGGTCAACAAAACACTACCAAGTGAGGGATAGACATACTCTAAATAATTTTTTGGGTCCATCTACCAATCAATCTGCTCCGAGGGAGCTCATATAGTATTATAAGAAAATCACATACCTACTTTTTTGCAGTTAGTTGCATTTAAGTTGTCAAAAGTAATCAGAGTATATTAGCTCTAGTTTGATGATTATGGTTAAGGTGCTTATCTGGAAAAAACTTATACATCGATAGATGCACTCAAGATAAAGATAATCTTAACTATAGTGGACGAGAAAGAGCAATGGACTTTAAATTTTGATAAAACTAAAGTTCGAAATAACGCGACGATTTAAATGATGATACATTGGTATAACGAGATGCAGCTCTGGCTGTTGACTGGCACAATTTCGTAACACTTGACGGCACCCGAGATTTTTAATTCTGGTACGAGGAAAAATCCTCTCATGTTGGTCTCTACCTGAGTCGTACTACTTCAATTCATGGCGGAGTACGACACCGGTGCTATATACGAGTTTTTTCTGCCACTAAGAGATTTTTACCAAAAAACACGGAGAATATAGTCAATGCAATTTATTAAAATGAGTAACCAATTTCAATTAGCTCGGCATAAAATTTCCCGAATTCTCAAAACTAAGAGAACAAAAAAAAAAAACAATGCCGATTGGACGGAACATATAGCATTACTCTTGGGGGCTGAAGATGAACGCTGTACATACCCATACATAAAAGTCCTATATATAAAAACATCTTTAATATTTTTAAATAATTTTCAATAATACTGTACATTATACGAATATATTTACAAGAAAAGAAAGAAAATAAAAGAGACAATGTTCAAATATTTTGCTTGAATATGATATTACTCTAATTGGTCCACAACAATCCTGTTTTATGTATCCGTGACATGTAGGATCAACGATACGTAAGTGTAAAAAATTTAAGATTTTTTAAAGTAATTTTATCCATTTTCGTTTACCGTGACTGTTATTAAAAAACATTGATCATACATTTTTTTTTGTATTATTTCACGAGAAATGCTGGCAGATATCCTTTGGTTTAAATATGCTAACGGTGTGTATGAGGACTACTGGTTCAAAAAACTGGCTTCTCGATTGGACTCCCAGACTGACCATCGCCAACTTGTTTCCAGGGTCCACTTGTCTTCAGACTACATAGTGCCCTTATAGAAACCGAAAAGTCAATGTTTTGTAAGCCAATATTATTAGGCGAGAGCACACCTCTTCCAAGCTCTCCTTCCGGTCATGTCCCAATAGCAGCAAGGTAAATTTATAACCTTGCTGCTAAAGAACTCTTATTTCCACATAGATGACTTATTCTTTAGTCAACTTAGTATATCAATATTAATTAGAAATAGACCATAATTGCCTTAGATTTTAGAGCAATATAGGCTTCCCTATTTTTGAAACACCCTGCGTACCTTATCCACTCCACAAACCGCTTATTTTGATGTTTTATTAAATTGAAGAATGAAACGAATTAGAATTCTTTATGGATTCAAACAAATTAAAATTTGCTTAAGTTTTTATGCGTATAAGTAAATTAAATTAATGAATATTTTGCGTAAAATCTAAAAATGAAATTATATACAGTCCATGTGTGTTTTAAGCAGAGGCTACACCTACCATTTAATTTTGACAATCTTCTTTTGTAAATGTTAGATTGATTCTTCGGCAACATTGCTATGTAACAAACAAACGGTACCTCAACGCGCGACATTTTACTGATTTTTTATGTTGAGCCGATATCAATTAGTAAAATGTCGCTTACGAATGAAATACAGGATTCTAAAAAATTTAGTTCTCAAAATTATGATTTCTTTATAGCTCAAGTTGCTTTTAAAATGAAAACTTGGATTTGGGGATTTTTAGAAATTAGGATGATGACTACGAGTCATGCTTTCTAAGTAAAAAAGGTATTTATTTAGATAAAGCACACCGTCTTTGGGCAGATATCTAAATAAAAGATCTTTTATGTTATTAAAACGGAAAAAAGTAACTTTAAATATGCGTTAGTTACTGATTGAGATACAGGGTCACTCATTGTTGCATACATGTGCCCAAATCAAATTATGAATAAAAGTTCGTGATGTAGCATTGTATATGTGGATGTATGATATAATATGGGAATGTTCGACTAGTGGGCAGGGGACGGATCTGTAGCCAAACAAATTTCAATCAGAATACCACACGATTACAATCTGGGTCAGAAATTTCTACATTTCAGGTCGTTTGATATGGAACAACAAAACTCCCTTGCGCAAGAAATATTGCCTCAAGACTTGCTTATGGTTTGCTAAGTTTCAATTCTGGGCACAAAATTAGTTACTATTGCCACCAACCCACAAAATATTGTTAGTCTCGCCGCACCTAGCAGCTTATTATGACGTCTTTTTCACAAATGATCGGACCCAGTTTACTTGCGAGCTTCGTCGGTTCGACGCCAAACAGTATCCAATTTCAGATAACTCTGATACAGTTCTAAAAATGATTATAATAGTTTAATTTAAAAAATTGGTAGTTGATTCTCTGACTATTCTCTCCCCTCACTGACACAATGTGCATCTATTGTATCGAAACCCTTAGTTCCGTTATGAGGCAATTAAAATATGTTTTATTGTAATATTCCTGCTTTCTGCTTTTGGTGAACTCTAGCTGAGAAAGCTTTCTTGTTGCTCATAATAATTATTATTGATTGAAAACCTAAAACTATAAGCTCTATAGATTATTTTAAAAGTATATATGTTTTAACCATTTTAACCAAAACAAAAATCAAGATTCAAGATCCTTGCTTAAGCCAAAAATTTCAAATTTAGTAAACAATTGAATTAAAATTTAATTTGTTTCAAGAATTTCATATAACATTTCAATACGAATACATTTCCTCTAGAAAACGTTAAGCTATTGCTCAAACCTAAATATTTGCAGACTACTAGATATATCGGGACTGCCTTTCTTGAAAATACCAGACACGACCAAACAACAGTAGATACAAATTTTTAAATAAATATAATTTTACTTCGGCACAATATTTCTTAGTCACTACGCCTAATAAGTTGCTACATGAGATAACTTTCCATATAAAATTTATTTAGCATATACGTTCGATATATTATATAAATTACATGATAACGCAAAAGTTGAAGGAACAACATCCAAATTTCTTGTAGATGGTCTGCGGTGGCACTAGGTGTAAGTCTTCTTCGTCGTCATCGCCGGAAATGCTCATTTCTTCTATGCTGAAGGTATCTGTCAACTCTTGATGACCCTTTGATTCTTTACGCGACATCGGAAAAAAGTTGACGATATCCTCCTCACTAAAAACGAAATTTATGGAAAAATTAGCAAGTTCAAGAAGATAACTCAGGAAGTAGCGATCGAAGTATGGATAATAAGTCTTTTTTAATTAAATAGCCGCCCTAACTAGTAAACAACTTAAATTTGTGTCTAAAAACTAATAAAAGTAATTAAAGGCCTGACCAAATGAATTTAGGAAAAATGAGCGTATTTGAAAAAGAAAAAGATCCTGCTTCAGGCACACCTACGCAGTTGTGACCGCCAAAATTATGGAATTTGGTCCCAAGCAAATATGCCTTATTTCTAGATTCGAAGAAATGGTTGGGTGGATAAAAGTTTGTGTCCAACAAGGAAGTAATCCCCCAAACAAATATAGTGTGTAGGCTTAAAAAATTGAAAAATACTTGGGCAAATCTATTTTATACTTTTTTTTAAGGATTTAATGAACTTCCCTCGTATAAACATGTGTTTATCACAGTTTCAATTTCAAGATCACTATGGTCATTTTAATATAATATGATTATCGATTTGAGTGCTCCCCGAATACATACAGTATTCTTGACTTACTGTCCAATTTCAACAAAATCGGCAAAGGGATCACATTTTATTTTTTTGGCACCTGGAAAAAAAAACAACTTCGAGAATGAGATTAAACACACATAGTTTTTTAAGCACTAAGATAATCTGATCTAAAAAATGCATTCATTTTTTCAATTGTCTTAGTGTCAGCAACAATATAAAGAAAAATGTATAACTTTGGAAAAAGTTTTTCTTCTTTTTCGATACTGCGATTTTTAAATGTGGTGACTGTGTATTCTGAAAATTTTTCACTCACCTGTCATCGGTGTCCCATTGTACTAAAGGTTGATGATCCTTAACTCCGGGAATTGGAAGCCTCTGAATGGGTATTAGAGGGGGCGCGTTGCTATAATCTTGATGCAGTCTTCTGACGTGCTCGATTCTGGCCTCGAGCTTTCGCTGAAGATGACGGGACGTTGCTGCCGATAATCTGGAAGGCGATCTACTGCTTCCCGCACTCGACGTATCACTAGCCTGGAGATTGTCAAGATGTAAAAGTTGGTTTCATGTTATTAAATACTTATCCAAAAAATATTACAACTATCCCAGGAAGATTGGTCAAAAACCAACAGAGTTCTGTTCGATTGGGTCAAGTTTTAACAATGTTTTTCCTGATAATTTAGCTCGTAATCCTGTGTATAGGGACTAAAGTATAGCTAAAAAAATATCACTTTCCCCTATAGGATGATGACTACTAAGTTATTTCGAAAAACTGGAGAAGTTAAATCTAGTGGCATTATATTTATATTTGGCAGAAAAAATAAAATAATAACTCCAAAACAAAGCAGGTTACGTATACTGTCACAAGATTATTTAAAATAAATTATTTACAGGAGATAATTTAAATAAATTATTTAAAATAAGTTGGCCGAGAAATTAATGATTATCTATTATTTCAAATGAGAAATGAGAATACGGTATAAAAAATGTTTAGAAAACGATGGCGGTTGCATTAAACCCTGATGTCAATAATATACAATTGACTTACGCAGATCTTAGAGGCAATGTTATGCGTGCTAGATGCTTTTTCATAACACTGTTTTTGTAACTATGGGAGACGCAACGATGTCTTATAGAGAAATAATTTTATTTTTGTTCAACCATCAGATAGCACTGGCTGCAAAAAGAATTTTTTTGCATCCACAGAATCCAACATTACTGTTTACCGGTGCTTGCCCAAGCACCTCGAAGCCGCCAAAGACCTACTGAAAGACGACGGGCAAATGACTGACTATTCGTCAAATTAGATTGCGCCTGGGCGTTCACAAGGTTTTTGGGTGTGCTTGTCAACTTCAAGAGCTGTTAGTACCTTATGGTATCAAATTTAGGTAATAATAACTGCTGACTAACTTATTATTGGATCAACTAACAAGCAACAAAGAGGAAGATAAAATCAATATAATTATTAGCCAATATACGCTAGATCAAACGAAAAATTTAGTAAAAAGTGCTTCCGTTGAATGCGAAAAGCCTTAAAGTCTCTAGCTTGTACTATCGTGACGGTACAAGGACAGAACATTCGATAACTGAAGCTAACAGAACTGCCTCCTACAAAGATCACAACATTCATCAAGTATAAAAACTGAAACTTAAGATTTTTTTTAATCCAGTTACAAAAAACGGCAACACGTATTGAATTCATAACACTAACAAAAAGTATTATGTACGTATTAGTTTAGCTGAACAGTTTACGTCTTCCTTAATATCATTGTATTTTCAATCCCCTACAACATTTGAAAATGATATAAATAACATTTCAAAAATTGGAAATTCGGCGACGGCTCTGAAGGTGAAACAGAATTGAATTTTGAATGAAAACGAACTTATATATCGCATTTTGTAAATAAACATAATATAATATGCAAACTTTATATTATTTAAACACCTTAAAAGTCCGCCCCTAATGTTCTGTCCTATAATACCATTAAACGGCAAGGCGATATTCTTCGGGACAAAGTATATGTATCGCTTTAATCCACATATAATAATGTTTTTTTTTATTATTCGCAAGTTTTAATTTGAAAGATAAACAAAAAAATAACATCAGGGACAACGCGACAACAAACATTACTAGTAGCCATTATTCACAACAACAGACGACGAAAACACGATCGAAATCAAAGTCCTTTAAACACCTAAGTAAACTTACCGTCGGCTTAGAATTTGAATCCCCATTGAGATCTCCGCTATCGATGCCACTATCTTCCATATTATTTTGAGGTATCGCCCCACTAATACAACTACATTTTAATTCGACGTCTTGCAGACTCGCAATTCCGTGACACCTCGCTGGATAACTTAATTAATGAAATATCGATCATGCGAATATTCAAAAAATTACGCCATGTTCGAGTTCCGATACGGGCGAACCGCGACTACCTTGGCGGACATGTTTGTGTCAGTCACGGGGGAAAATCAATATCTACTCCAAGACGGCCGAGTGCGGGAGCAGCACTGATGTCAGAATATACGCACAAATGATAAACACGTTATTAATATAGGTTCCCATAAAGCGCTGATAATTTTGAGGCCATAAAAATAGAATGATTAGCATTTTTTGAACCACTTTATTTATAACATATGGAACGTAGTGTTGTTCACCTGAATGTTTATATAGAATTGGTCAGAATAAAGGATTAGACTACGCTTTTAATTAAAAAGAAAACAATTTAATGGGGAGGAACAATGTTTTTATATTCATAAGAAATAGAGTCTAAGGGTTGTTTAGGAGGTGTAAATTCAGGAGATCGAACTATTGCTAACATAATCATAATACATGACAATCGACATTTTGGTGTGTAAAATTTTCTATCTCTGTCCAGGTATTGTTTGAGTACAGAAGCCAAAAGTCTGTCTCCGGAAGAAGTTTACCATTTTGAAATCACTCCTTACAGATGTTCTTCGTATTTTTTTTTAAACTGAATTTTATGGTGATAATAATCCACAAGAATTGAGCCATATGACCGTTATGTAAAAGAACACATTTTAAAATAAGCAGTTTTTGAACTGTCCAGAAAAAGGCGCAAATCGCAAATGTAGATCAGAATATTTGTGTGAATTGTTTCTATTTATGCCCTTCATATTAACAAGACAAAAAGAGCGGACAAGACAAAATGACCGCCAAAATTTTTAAGATAAGTCATAAATTGTTCTTCTACCCTCTTTCATAGTATGTTCATTACACACATAACAAAAAGCATCGGGATGATTTACTCAGGTACGTCTGCTTGTGAATGCCATTGCTTTAGTTCAGTGTGTTGATACTATAAAACGACCAAAATTTACACAAAATAATAGCACAACTTTACAATCGAAAGCTCATTAATATACTTAATCGAGTATGGCCAAGATGCTATGTTCCCAATAAGTCCCGTAAGTACCCTTTGAAAATAAAAAACCTGCAACTATGCCACTGACATGTACCTTAAATGGAGTTGCTACGGCAGCCATATAAACAAACCCTGAATGAAAGTCTACCAAAAGCATAGCACTGTCACGAAAAGTCTTGTACAACAGCTGACTAAAAAATGAAGACAACGTCCGTGAAGAACGCTAGACCTTCCGTGGTTAACAAAAATGGGGTGAGTTTTGAAAACAGTGGCAAAATTAGTGGTGAATAATATAATTTTAGAAAAAGTTTACGGTAAAAAGCGGCACGGAAACTACGCACGCCGATGAGCTGGACGAATGGAAAAAAAGCAGGCAACTGCTTAAGCCAAAGGGTCAGCTCGAATTGACTGAAGCTGTGAGTGAAAATGCGATTTTAAAATTCACTGACCATATGAAAAAACGGCTACTAGAAATTAGACCCGATACCAAAATTGGCTTGGACGTTTTTTCAATTTTTGATTTATTCCTCAGTAGCAATGCTATTTAGATTTGAATTTCAGCATATACGGGGCGCAACAATGGGTCGAAGTTTTTTTCTCGAAATTTGGAAGACCCTGTAGAATGCAGCTGTTGTCAACTGGGAATTACATTGGAGCATAATCTTTTTTAATCGTTTTAAACATTTTCTCTATTTTTATCTGTTAAAACATCAAACCGTAAACTAAAAAGAACATAAATATTTTTAAAGAAATTAAAAAAAAAAAAAAAGTTAAAGCTCAAGCAGTTTTTCAAATATCGACATAAAAATTTAGATTCGGAGGTTTTTCTATTTTTGACATGTACACCCTATAATGTCACATCTTTTTTGTTCGTACCGTCGTATCATCAAAAACAAACGAATGGTTAGCGAAGAAACAATTTTTAGTGGTCAATTTTTTGTGGAGGCGAATTTATTAAAACGCAAATATCTCCAAAACACGGAGTTTTATCGAAACAATTACTATATTACTAAGTTTTCATGTGTACTGAAGCATATTTGGCTGAAGATAATAATAATAATAAGTGCCTTTTATTGTATAATGTATAGTCAACAAGAGTATATTACAATAAATTTATCAGGGCAACTCCAGCGCAGTCTAGCTTAAAAGCTACTATACTGATCCGGACATTGACATTTTAGACATTACGCATTCGAGCAATTCATAACAATAAAAATTTAAGCTTTTTAGGATCAGAGCCTATATAAAAACAATCTTATAAAAACCATAAACAATTTTACAATATGAAAATGTTATTATTAGTTTTAACCGAATTTAACATATTTTTTTATATATGTAATTGAAAGTTTTAACATTGAGACTTAAACAGTGTTTGGGTATTTAATTGTAACAATGCACTGCGTTATACGAAAAAGAAAGACGAAACATGGCGGGCCGATGGTGGGGCATTATAAGTTTAATAGTACTTCTAATATTTAAATTATATACGTTATAACGAAATATTTATCGCTCACTAATAGAGATGGGAGCAAGGGGTTTGTTAATAATTTTAATTAAAAAACAACTAAAGTGTTAATATCAATGAGCATCCATTCTCACTTAATTTATATAGCTATAAAAACGAGAGGAGTGATCAAATTTTCGAATCCCATCAACAAACCGGAGACATGAGTTTTGAACTATTTGTATTCAGATTCGACTCTCATGATCCAAGCAAAAACCGTAGACAAAATCACAAAATTAGACAAGACAAGTGACTCGCAAAATTTTCTTCTCAACCTTTTGCGTGTTATTACAAAGCATATTTAGTGAGCAGTAGGTTTTTTTTTTTGGAAATATTCTTTGCAGTAGTTACAAATTTTAATTTAGTGTCATCAACTGTAATGTTAAGTCTACCGACTAAAGGCATAGTTCTGGTTTTACTTCCGAAAATCATAGCGCATGATGTCGTTGGGTCTAATATGAGGTTGTGCCCACTAGACAGGTCACTTATAATACGTAAATCGTGATTTATATTAGACTCCGCCTCAACATAGGCATAGTCAAAACAACAATAGAGCTGCGTGACATCGGCAAATGCCTGTACCTGTACTGCACAGAACGGAGTTCAAAATGCAGTATAGACTAAAAAGAGCTATAGCCCAAAAATGGATCCTTGTGGGACTCCAGAGAGATAAGCAACCTGATCGAAATATGTATTATTAGAGAATATTCTTCGAAACCTCTTTGATGATGATGATCTAATTAAACTACACGATGCTGATGAGAAATTGTAAAACTTTAACTTATAAGCAAACTGTGATTAATGTTGTCAAATGCCTATGTAACTCTTTTCCAAGCAGCAGTTTATGATATGCGTTATATATTTATCTATGAAAGGACTAGAATATTTTAACATTAGTGGTGTTATTTGGTCGACCCCGGTTACATTGGATTTCATTGAATTTAAAATTTGATTTATCTCAGACACTTCGGCCATCCTAAAGGAGAAGTTTATGTGATTGTTGTATTTATGATTATTATTGTAGTTAACCTGATGGTCACAGTTTGAAATATTCTAAAAAAAATAGCATTAAATGGTATTGTATTGTGATATTTCCTTGGGAACAAATGTTAAAATTTCTGATAGCTGGCCATAGTTTGCAATTATTTCTCTGCGAACCTTGCTCAAAGTAAAATTTCTAAGGTAAATTTATAGTTATCCAAGTCCTGCCGTAGTCTAGTTCTTTTGAACTCTTTTAGAGCAGTGTCACGTTGTTTGTCTTATGGGGCATGTTCATCAAAAAGACACGTGATCTAGACTGTACTATCGATCTCATTTTAATTCCAGGGCTAGTTTTCCATCTGGTATTTTAGCTACATTTCATTCATAGCATGTTAATTTATGATCACTAATGCTATCGACATCAATGACACCGGAATTATAAACCAATTCCAGATCACTTTCAAATAATGCATTCAATAAAGTGCTGCTAATCTCTGTAACCCTGGTAGCTTCATTTATTATCTGTACAAGGTTATAATTTTCAAGAAGTGAAATTCACGGATTATTCATCATTATCATAATCGTCACGAGATTATTCTAGAATTTATAGAAATATAGGTTTCACAAACAAAATAAACATTAAAAAACAGAGAATAAGTAAACTTAATGTATCTTGCTTTCCTGGAAAAAGTAACAACCAAGCGCTAGCATTCCCCTGTTCAATATTTGTCTTATTTCAATTAAAATTTAAGCTTACTCTGCTGCTTTTACATCAGGAATTAAAAGAACTGCTAACAAAGCAGCTGACAACGACAAATCCACAGCCACCAGACAGCTTGGTGGAATTTAGCTACGCGCAAGGCGAATTCGTCCTCTTGCCACCACCAGGAAATACCATTGTGGTATATGAGCACCAGGGTAGTCTAATCCATAAGGACTCAGAAGAGGCCCGTGCTCAACTGTTAGAACAAGGAATCGATCGTAAGAAATCGACCTTTTGCACTAAGTAACTGTTTCAGTTTCTTTTGTCCCTTTTAGCCGATATGTTAGAAACTTCATCTGAATCATCTATAGAGGACGTCGAAGTAAAAGAAGAACCCGCTGAAGCTCCCGTAGCACCAATACCGGAAGGAGATGAAGAAACGAAAGATGAAGATGCTGACGAGGAAGCGGCAAAGGCAGAGAAACAAGAAGACGAGGGCGAAGGGGAGGGAGAACCCGAAGGTGAGGTGGAGGTAAAGGCGGAAGCGCCGCCTAAGAAAGCCCCGAAAGGAGGAAAACCAAGAAAGCTGACCAACCAGTTCAATTTCTGCGAGCGTGCCGCCTTGACCTACAATAATCCCACTAGGGTAAAGTCGTTTCCAACGTTTTTAATTTAAATTTTCTATCGAAATTAGAAATATATCTAGCTAATTAATGCGACTTTAAATGCTCACGGAATCTAGCACCAAATGAAAATCCGAAACAGCCCCATCAACTCATGTTTACGTTTCTCGACCAATCTGATAGGATAACATTAAAATATTTTTTAAAAATTATTTTGAAAGAGCTAATTGCAAGTGTTCAGAATATTCTCTTCTGTTTTATTTTTGGAACGAAGGAAAGAAGAAGAAAAAAAGGATAAGACTTGTCAGTACAGATAACCCGACGCCCATCAAAGTTGCCGTAATATCGCCTGGATACCATCATAATACAAATCGCAGTGCGATGATAGTTTGTTCAAAGTAACACCCATATTGTAAATAGGGTTTTGAAAATAGATATTGGAGCTGGGTAACTGCAGTAAGAATGTTGATTGACAGCCGCGGCACATCAAAAAGTTATTGTTCCAAAAGAATCGGACAATCGACTCCGTAATGAACTAATTTGGAAAAAAATGAAACAGATTTCAAGTCTCTGTGCAAGCTCAGAGGCAGTACAGCGAACCTTCCCAGCAGAAGATCATGATCAACTCGACGATAGGAACCGTCCTCCCTGAACATTCGATACTTCAGTAACCCTTTCTGCACATTCTCAATGGATTGAGCGTGGCATTGCACTGTGAACCATGGTTAGTAATGTAAGGTACAAAAGAAAACATCTGGTCAAATAAAAGCCCCAGATACTTTACAGTGGCAACTCTAGTCAGGATAGTACCATTCATATTGTAATTAAAGACTACAGTAGTTTTTGTGCGGTGGTAAGAAACCATATAACACTTGCTGATGTTAAGATGCAAATTATTTTTAGTACACCACTGATTAACAAGATTGATGTTGTCTGAAGAGTCATACACTCTGTGCCGGTTTTAATGCATTGATATAATTTTAGGTCAACCGCATAGGCAAACTTGTCGCAGATGATGAAAGATATGAGATCATCTATAGATATATTGAACAGAAGGAACTGACCTAAACCCCTCAATCTCAACAAACTGTTGACGGTTCACCAGATAGGACCTCAACAATGTTATCAGCGAATCGGGGAAACCAAATTTTTGAGACGCTTTTTCAATCAGTAAGTGAAAGATCTATCTGATCAAACGCTTTGTGGGAGTCAGTGCGTATAAAGTCAACTTGACCTTGCTTGATCAGGGAGTCACACATGTTGTACGTAGATAGTTTCAAATTTGAGCGAAAATAAATTAAATTGATTTAATAATTTCCAATATTTTAGAAAAAAAACTCACGATGTCATCAGGACCGGCCATGATTTTATTTTTGAGTGGTTTGCTTGCTGATAAGACATCCTGGATGGTAAGCTTAGCTATTTTGACTAAATCGGGATTAAAGGACACGGTTGAAGATGAACATGATCTGGCTAGGATATCGTATTAACGCTACCAAAGCACTTTGCAAAAGCGGCGACAACTATATTAGGCCCGTGACATGGCTGATTAGAATAGGACATTGTAGCTGTTATTCGCAAATCTACCTTCTCACGCTGAAGAAATGACCAGAAATTGGTAGGATTATCATGTATGCTTAACCCAACACGACGACCAAAATCAGTATAGTCAATGCGTGACTGGAACCTAATTCACTTGGGCAGAGCGGTATATCTGCCAAAAGAATGGGAAGATTTGTGTTGCTTGAAATTGCGGAAAGCTCTCCCCTTCTCTAATATATTTGCGATCATTTCTTTGGCGAACCATAATGGAAATCGCCTTCGTCTCGGTGTTTTAGTGGGCGTGCAAACGACAAAACATTGTTTAGCCTGTCGTAAAAAAGTTGTAGAGCCCTGTCGACATCCGACCATTCCATAACACTATTCCAGTCTGCATACTGCATCAGCTCATACTTATGAGGATAGTTGGCCTATCTCAAGTTAAATTCGGTTTGATCGTTCTTATTGATTGGAAAATTAGAGGCGTGTGGAAAAGCGACCCGGAAAGAAACTCTTAACGAGGGATTCGGTAACAGCAACGATATCATACCCTGAGGAAGTTACGCCACTGTAAAAGACATGGATTCTAGTTCTGAAACCCTGAACGTTCTGGTAGATACAGGTCAATTCTTTGGCTGAGGTGGCAGTCGGGCTGGGATTAAATTAAATTTGTTTATTGTCGGCGAGTGTTCTCGCTTAAGCACAAGTGACATGTCGCTAGGTTTAGACAGTATCACTTTAACTGGTTTGTAGCCATTACGGTTTGGTTTACCGACGGAAATAACGTTAGTGACTTCAATCTGCGTAAACCCACTGCTGAAGGGGAGTGAAGAGATTTGAAGTGATTCAGGAATGCTGTCGTCACGGCGAAGATTAAAAATTATCAAATTGTGCATGGGTGCCTGCCTCTGCAGCACTTCTTGAAGAATGCCGTTTTGGTAATTTTGTTCGGCGGCAGTAGTGCTATCATGGCTATTGTTATTAGCAATTTAATTTCTTAACTCTACAATCTCCGATCTATGATTAGCATTAATTTTGACATGGTCTTCATAGCTCGCCAGCAGATTGGTATACTGAGTTGCTGCTGAGCTTAACTGTCCATAAAATGAAAACTAAACACCTGTTATGGCAGCTTTTTAAATTTACATTCGTACTATCCAGGTTGTCCAAAAGTATTAAAAGTATTAAAGTGTTTTTTTTTTAATAAAATGAATATTATAACATTTTTGGATTCTAAGATCAAAATAAATGAATTTTTCAATAACGTTTATGATACAACCCTAGCTTTTTTTAGATAATTTAAAATAAATCTGCAGTAAACTATAACCATACACCATATCTCATTATGCAAGGTATCCGAAAAATTATTCTAATCCAACTTTAAGTGGCTATAACTTGATTAATTAAAATAATTTAAAATTTAAGCCAACTCTTCGCTTTTTCGCAAAATACACAAAATTGTGATTTTATACATCGGATACTTTACGGTATTTAAAAATTGGAGATAATTTATTGAGACAGTTAATTTGACCTCGTTTTGCTGCAAAGTGCGAAATTTTTGAAACCCATGTCTTCCAATACACCTACTTTCAGCCGAAACTATTTAATAATTATTGAAAATGTTAAATTTTCTTTTTAAAATTACTGTTCATGTTTTATATACTTAAAAATAAACTGGATCCGATAATTTTTTACTTTTTATGTTTGTTATGAGAAAGCCGGGAAACTCTACCCAAAAGGTTTGGTTAAGTAGATAATAGTATAATAAATGATAATAATAAAAATATATATACTCGAGATGCCATAACATTTTCAAAAATGATCTGCATTACGAAAATTCCGTTTGTGGCATCCTTTTTCGTTTAATAAAAAATTAATTACCGCAAAAATCCCATTAATATAAGTGAGATAACTTCCACAAATGATACCCACTTCAGTCAAATATAGGTGAGATTTATCATTTGCAGTCACAAGAGACCCAAACGGTGCCACCTCCAATTGCGGTATTTTCCGCCAACGTGCTCCAGTGGGTGATCTACGATGCGTACCAGAAGGACTACGAGGCGCAGCAGCTTGAAAAGGAACTGGAAAAGGAGCGAAAGGAGAAGGAGAAAGCGCCGGTGTCGAAACATCCGTCCGTAAAAAAGACGCCGGGCAAAGCTCAGCTGAGCGATGCGGTACAAGGTCGCGCGTTTGAATGCTGGAAAGTCCTCGAACGGATGATCAACCAGAATACCTACGACGACATCGCGAAAGGTATGGTTACTTCTCGATTGAAGTGAAATTGATATTCGTTCCACCATTTGCATTAAAATTTCCACTTTCACCACCTCACTTATTACAGTCAAGAAGTACTTCCACAACATCAAAAAATCTCATCGCTTTCCTTCAATCTTTATCTTCATCCCAAGGTACTAGCAAAACTATCTACCCAAAACGAGGGAATGGAGACAAAATCGGTACAGCAACCCTCATCTTTCGCCATCTAATACTAACCAAAACTAAATGATACTGAACAAAACGTACACCTTGAATATAACAACGCTATTTGACTGCCGAGAAACATTGCCTACACTGGCGGAATGTAGTTCTTGTAGTGTCACTCTGCAGCAGAGCTGAAGACTCAGAAATTTAGCAATATGTACCCAGCCATAGAATTGAGTCCGAGTCTTGTCAAGAGTGAAGGATGCGCCAGATCAAAGGCGTACTTGTGAGGGGATGAGTCTTATGGGTTCGGTCTGCCTAACCGTTTAAAGCGACAATTCCCTTTATAACGGAGATAGATAAAAACTGATATGGATATATGAGGCTCAATTTTCATAAAAGATATGATATAAAGCGCATATGGATACCTGAAAATTGTAAAAAATGATACATAATAGTTTGTTTGAAAAAAACAACACCCCATAATTATTAAAGAGCAATATTGAGCGTTTTTTACATTTTTTATGAAAATTGAGCCCCAGGCACCGAATCTGATGTCTATCTACCTAATTTAAAAGTTTTTAACAACAAATTTCATTTCGGTGCGAAACCAACGTACCCAAGAGCCAACCGAGTCCAACGGTACATGATAATTTTTTATGTAAGCATATAGCAAAGCATAACAATAACCTTTCGCTATCTAATACTAACCAAGACTAAACAAAACTGAACAAATCGTACCTCTTGAAAATAGCAAGGGATCGCCGTCACCTTTCATCACCTATCGTCACCTGATACTATGCAAAACTGACTAATCAAACCTAGGGAAAGTGAACAAACTTTATATAGCAAAGCATTACATCACATCACCCTTCATAACCTCGTTATCTGATACTAAGCAAAACTAAATGACCACAAATAGCATCTCCAAAATGTTCTATTTTGTACTAAACAGCACACACATCATCGTCATCTAACTAACCAAAACTGAGCCAAAATTGAATAAAATATTCACCAACTTTAAAAAAAAAACAGGAAAATCTTGAATACTTATACTATAAGTCTTATAGCAATGCATTCTTTGTCACCTGACACTAACCAGAACTAAGCAAAACCTATTACCTAACCTATAATATACAGATAAAATTGTCTGAAGCTATGAAACCGGAAACCGGGCATTTTCTTTTTGTTAAATTAATTTCTAAGTAGATTACAGGTATTGGGATGATCCGTCCGACGAGTTTCGGGATGAGGAGGGCACACTTCTCCCCCTCTGGAAGTTCAGCTATGAGAGAACCAAGAAGAATACAGTTACCGATATCGAATGGAATCCGTACTACTACGACTTATTCGCTGTCTGTTTTGGTTTTCGTAAGTTGATCATTTTAATCATAATTGAAATCAGATTCTAAAATTTTGATAAATAACCTTGCTAAAAGTGAACGTGTGGAAAAAATTAACGCACAAATTCATTTTTTTTTCTTTTGTATTTATTCACGATATTTTAGTACAAAATTAATATCTGGCTAAAAATCACAATAGTTTCGACCAATAGATCCGGTTGTTTAAAAATTTGGGGATGTGCTTGATGCATTTCTCTTATATACAAAATAAGCAGATCTTTTTGTTCGACATTAACCTTCGTCTATTCATTTTATTAGAGTTCATAACAAATAACCTAGTATTTATCTTGGAACAGATACGATAATGAAATGTAATAGTGGCACCAATATTCTCCACTATAATTTTATTATTATTTTTACCCCAAGAATCGTATTTATTGCAGGGATATTTGCGACTTTGTCAGAACTTTGCAGAACTATTTTTTTTAATTAATTCAAATCGGGAAGTTCCTCAAATATCACAAATTATAATATAATAATAACATTAGTCGCGGAAGAAACAAAAAAAAACAAGATTACTGAATTTGAAAGGTTAAAAATATACACGTTCATTGATCGAAATGTTATTTAGAAATTTGGCAACATAGAATAGTTTCTCCCTGTTTCATTTCTATTTGAGTTTCAGTTTTTGCCAGTTAGGAATTGGTTTCTTTTTCAGTGGACTTTATGAAACCGTCAACGGAAGGAGCAGTATGCATATTCACCCTGAAGAATCCATCGTACCCGGATTATATTTGCATGACTAAATCGGGCGTGATGTGCGTGGACATCCACCCCAAGTACCCTTATATGGTTGTGATCGGCCTTTACGATGGTAGTGTTCAAGTGTTTAACGTTCAAGCGACTTGTGATGATCCCGCTTATAAAAGCAACAATGTGATCAATAAACATAAAGGAATCGTTTGGGAGGTAAATAGTTATAGAGCAACTATATTACGCATTGTTTATCAAAAGAATTTCTACGTTGTTGAATTTGCTTTGTATGCGAAATAGCTATTATGTCTTACTTATTGTTAGAAAACTAAAAGAAAAAAGTAGTACAAACTTAAGAGATATACAGGATGTTCCATTAAAAAAAAACACAAGTTTAATTTGTATATTAAAATTTTAGAATTTTAGAAGAAAACTGACTACGCTACTGGATCCTACATAAAAACCCCTATCCAGATCAGTTTTTGCCGTTTCGATAAATTTACGCATAACCGAGCTACAACGGGTGCTTAAAAATGCAAAATTTTCAAAATCACCATGTATCTAAAAATATATGGCTATGACATTTCTGTTTATCCCACCTTTCATTTTATAAAAAAGTTGCTATAAAAATGGTAACCACTAAACAGACTGAGAGATAATCCTCCCTGGTTAATAAATTGTAAATATTTCTCAGAATGCGGGTGTCTGGTGATAAATTTTAGGATACCGAAATATTAATACTTTTCAACAATATGAATGCTTAATTGTTTAGGTAACTTTTTCATCAATATAAAATTCTGAAATTAAATTGAAAAAATCATCAATATCTCGACGATTGCCGAAGGACTAGAACCAGAGATTTGGACATATGAAGAAGTTTTCCGATCTCTCACTTCTCCATTTTTATTTTTAGATGTAAAATAATAACTATCACAAAACAGATGTTCGAAACAAGATCCAAAACTGTACGCTAGACAAAGACATCGAATTCAAATTGTCATTGAAAAAATCAAATATGTGATTATTTTTATTTTTGTGTTACATAGTGACCAAAGAGACTGTAATAATGTTAACATGCGTAGGTACAGTTAGATTTACTAACAAACGAAAATGCCAGATATCGAATTTGGAAGAATTAACCCTAATATTGAGCAATTTTATCCAAAAATCTATCTTAGGCGTAAAAATTGGTGGCAGCTACAATGTTGGGGGTGAAAGAACATGTGCCGATTCTGTCAATCGCAGGTGAAATGGGCACCGGATCTTCCGGACGGCGAATTGAATTTCTTCTCCGTAGCAGCCGACGGCAGAATCAACAATTGGGTCCTGATGCAAAATGAATTGGCGGTCACGACAATAATTACGCTGTATTTGATTAAAGACGAGGTACCCGGACCAGACGGGACACGCTTAAAAGTTAAAGGTGCAGCATACTTAATGCATAATTGTCCGTTTCAAAGCACATCCAAAAGCCTTTTGTATAGCGAAACAACCGATGTAAACTTAATTATACACCGATTTAGGGTGCGGAAATCGTCACTTTACCAAGTGAGTTTCTTGTCCCACGAATCCGAACCCCTTCGGATATTTCCGGGATATTAGCGCACGGATTTGGGATCAATCGGATGTTTTCGGAGATTTTACCGAACGGCTTGAATTTTGACGTTTGTCAATTCTGACGGTCATGTCAGTGAATGCATTCGTGTTGTTTTGCGAAAATGTACCCAAAAACTAACGGTCATCAAAAAAGTATAGTAAGCAACACGTTTGGTAAACTTTTTAAGTCACTTCTTTATTAAAATGCCGTTTACCGCACTTCTTGCATAATATACTATAGTAAGTTTTTTATGCAAATAGCACCTAGATAAATAAAATACATAATTAATAATAGCAAATCGAATTTCGTTATGATAATTTAAATTGTTTTCCAAATTTTTAAATTTCAATTAGAATACTCCCACAATTTTTTTTTTCTTCATTAGGGTGTGCTTCGTGTGTCAAATTGCATCCGAAGAATCCAATAATATACCTAGTGGGTACAGAGGAGGGGCAAATTTTCAAGTGCAGCACCGCTTACAGTTCGATGTACCTGATGACGTACGAAGCCCATCAAATGCCCGTGGCACGAATCGACTTTAACAAATTCAACTCCGACATATTTATATCCTGCAGCGGCGACTGGCGCATTAAGGTGTGGGAGGACAACAGGCTGTAAGTCTACGTAATATTTCTAAACTCCGCTAAAAGGTCATTAATGTTAATTTAGGCGATGACAAACATAGAAATCTTTGGTTTTAAATGAAGTCAGGCGTACATAGCTTTATATAGGTCAATTGTTTCTTTTAAGTTTGTTTCCGATGTGACTTACATGTTTATAAATGTTTAGTAGCTATTATTACAAGGTATATTAAGTGCATAATCAGCTTAAGAGTTTGACATAAATATATATTTTTTAAATTTATTCCTTATTCTTAACAATGATGTTATCCAATTTAAATGAAAAGTAAAATATATTTCCAATGTACCGAAACTTATTTATAAAAAAAAATAATAGGAAAATTATGGTCTATTGTACAGTTATTGATTAGAATTTTCTATATAGACATTAGATAAAATAGTGACCCTACTATTGTAAAAATTGATGCGCCGCAAGCGGTATTGATAGTTTCGTAGAGCATGCTTCTTCACCCACTACACTTTGCGCCATTTTCTTTATAAACAGCGAATTCCACATACACCTATCACATCCAAGCTTATTGTCAACGTTCATGTTGGTTGTTGAATATCGCAAGGTCATTGGTTTCGTTTGTTGATAGTAGCTTCATAAGTTTCTGTATTATGAGCATAGGCAGAACCTCTATATCTTTGGCAACAGATAGCAAACATATCGTTTTTAATTATTGACATGGTCCTTAAAAAAACATTTTTTAAAGCGCTTGGCAATTCTTGGCACCCAAATTTGTAATTAGCGAGAAGGTAATAAAGCACTATAAGTAAAAAAAGTATTTAGATGACAAATATCTTTTAATGTTCGCAGTTTGTAACGCAATTTTAAAAAATTAGGCATTTACTTTTTAAGATCTAAGATCCACGTTTTAAGAGCCTAGAATTAGTGACAGAGAAATAACTTATCAAAAACACAACATAATATCAAAAAACTAAAACGTCAAGTGGCCAATAATTCTTTTTCTTCAAGTGGTGTCTTCGTTCCGAAGGTTGGCGATCATCTAAGGCAATGCGTATTTTTGAACCATTCGCGCAGATTTCTTAACCAGGAATGTCTACTCCTTCGCCCTAGTCTTCCACTTTTTTCCTGAGAGCTGTCAGCATTTTCATTAAAGACAGTACCTAAGTAATTGTAATTTGCAACTCTTACAATAGGTTCCCCATGTTCTTTGTTCTTTGTCGTCGATGTTTATTATTAAGTGGATTGCCGTTCATTCCGATAATACCATGTCCTTCATATTCAACAACTTTTTGTCTATGCTCTTCGAAGAGAATCCTCCACATAATTTTTCGACGATTTAGTTTTTCTTGTTTATCTTTTATTATTTTGTGGTTTGTATTGTATAATATATAATATTCCGTTTTTGTACTCCCATTAGTTCTTTAACTTTTTCATGTATATTGAAGTTGTCGTGTTTATATTGTAATCCTTCCAATTGCTTCACATTTTGTCCCATAAAAAATTTCATTCGCTACTCTGAATTTATGTCGTATTTGCCGTTGTACTGTTCAAATTTATTTTTAACATTTTTTGTTTTGTTCATCTGCTGATTTGAGATAATGCCATTTTTTATTGATACCCTGTTACACTATGTAAGTGTCCATTTTTTCTTTTCGGTCCTAGCGTATCTCCTCTTTCTGTAACTGTCCCACATAAATTTGATTTTTTTTAGTTACTTTCATTCTTCTTTTTAGTTTGACTTGAACTAGGGTTATCAAGGGGTTATGGTCAGAAGACATGTCAGTGCCTGGATATTGATTTAAAATTATTATTATTGTACTAGTCGTCGCTTCTTTCATATCCAACGCAGCTCCCTTTTCCAAGTTTAGCCGGATAGCTGTGATGTTCTTTTGATGAACTATAGTATTGCAAGAAAAACTAATTTGCTAATATAATACCCAAGACCCGACGAGAAATGATTACCTCATTAATTAACTTTAAATCTAGAGTGTAAAAAATATGAAATTAACAATTCCAATTAATTCTCCCGAATATCACGTCTGTGTTTGCAATTATAAAAGATAATTTTTTTATCGAGGGCTGTAATTGCTAATTAAGACATTTAAAATTTGATCGTTATCGATAAACCGCGATTTGACCACCATTGTTGTACCTCGCTCGCTCACGAAATCTTGTTTATTTTTGGAAATTTCAGTAAATTAGAGCAAATTTAACAACCGAACAAAAAAATTCCCCGCAGAGAACCTCTCTTCGTCTTCGATGTCGGCGACAGAGTCGGTGACGTGAAGTGGGCGCCGTATTCATCGACGGTATTTGCCGCCGTCACCACCGAAGGCAAAGTCTACGTATTCGACCTGAACGTCAACAAGTATAAACCAATCTGTATTCAGGCTGTGGTCTCCAAAAGACGCAACAAGTTGACGCGACTTTCGTTCAATCCAAGACTGCCGATCATCATAGTCGGCGACGACAAGTGGGAGCTTTAGACTAGAGAGCTCCAATCTAACAAGAGGTGGTTCGATCGCGTCGTTTAACGTTTATACCAGTTATTGGCGAACTTTAATTATAAATTCGCCAATAGACTGATTGAAATTTGTTTGCCATCTGATAAATTAGATATTTGAATATAACGAAATTGATGCAGTCGAGCATTCGAAAATCATATTATTTCTTAAGTTTTAAGTAAAAATTCACAGAGAGAAAAACTCAATATTTATTTTAGTATTCTGAAAATAATCATAGAATACAGAGTAATATTTTAAATACTTTATAAGTATTATCATCAACTTCATCCCTCATGCAACTTTGCACTAGTTTCAATATTTATGTAAAATGTATTTTTAATTTTGTTTAATTGTTATACTGAAAAATAATAACTTGACATTCTGGGAATTTTTATATTAGCGTTTTTTTTTCCGTCCCCTTGTAGGAAAAAAATAGCATATTCTGGACGTCTTACACCATTTTTAGAATACTGATTTACCCCTCGTTAAAAAATACATATAATTTATTGATAATCACAATATTTTTTCCGTTTTTAATATATAAAAATAACAATAAAAGAAAAATAACATTCATAATTATAGATTAATTAAGCAATATTTATTTATATTTAGACGATCCTTTTTTTAACAAAGGATATGGAATTTTAAGAAATTATTACCTCTTTAAGCTTGATAGGAAAGATAATTTATAAAACAGTATATAAGGATGAAAATAAATAAGACAACGGATACAAATGAAAGATTTGAATATAAAATATAATAAAACATTATAAGGCAATATAGCAAAGGATATCTCAATAATAACTGGGCAATTTCTCTGTTAAGAGATAGTTTGATAGGTAAGCCAATATATGAATTAAGAAATATTTATAATAATTATCTTAAGTTACTTGATTATTTATTTTTAAATAAACATATATTACTTGTCTAAATTAATAAATTAAATTTAATGAAAAAATATATGTTCTTCAAATTAGTCTCTCTAAAGAAAGAGTACTCCCGCCAGTTTGAAAATGATAAGCACACTTCGTAATCGAAACACGGTTATATAAAAATAAAATATAAAAGATATCCATAAAAAAACTATTAAGCACACTTCAACCACGTATTAAGCTCTCGGGCTAATAAACAAACCAGCGGGTTTACGCTTTTTTACGTTTATACCCGAGACCTCCGAACATGCGTATAAAAAAACTGGCCACTATCGCGCGTCTCATTAGATTGGAGCTCTTTGCTTTAGACGTGTTTTATGAAAACCGTTTCTGACCTAACTACCATGCGCTTGTAGGGGCTGCGTCACCACGCTGAAACTATCTCCCAATCTAAGAATTCCCTGCAAGGCCCCGAAGAAACAACAACATTTGGACCAGTGGACGTTGCAATGTATGAAACTGGATAAACTATTGTCGCTAGTACGGGAGCCGGTCACGTTATCTTTGCCCAAAGACACAGCGGGTTCCGAAGAATCTTAATACTTTTAGAAAATATAAGTTTTCAATTACTTTGGATTTTCTTTCTGTGCGATCATCAAATGAATTTGAGTAGGGAAACACCTAACTTCTGCTTCCTCCGGCATAGGATATTATGCATGAAATGTCTAAAACTCAAAAATAATTTATAATAATTCCACCAGTGCCACCCTCTACTTTAAAAGACATAGAAAACTCTCATTCAAATCTTGCGTGAGCTTCCAATTCCACTCGCGTTAAAAATTAAAAAAAAAACAAATACTCAACACGTTTACTAAAAAAATAGTTTTTAGTTTATTACAAACCTCAAACAATAATACTTATCCTAAAAAGATACAATTAAAAAAAGAACAAGACGAGAATGCTGATCCTTATTTCGCCATTAGAATAAAGAGAAACTACACGAGCTGAACTCCAAATTTGGTTAGATAGGTCTGTAAGATGGTTTGAGATTGAGTGTCAATGTTGCTGATAAGAGTCACTATACGTCCAGGCATAGAACTGGCCAGATTGGCCAAACTTTGAGCTAAAAACTCTCTAGGTTCGCTGATTCCTAAAACGACATTCCACCTTGTGGTTCAACTCGATCGAAACAAGATGGGTAATCACCCAGTCTTACCTAGCAAAGGATCTGACTTGCTGCTATTTGCAAAGTTTAGTTTAGCATTTGACGTTTGATAGGCCGGTGTATCGTCGACTTCGATGAAATGATCGTCCGGCAGAAATGTTTCGTCAGGAGGCATCTCGAAAAACATCAGCAACGCCTAAAATTATCGACTGACTATAATAAACTTTATTAAAAATATACCATTCATTAATAAATGAACAAATAAAAGGTATGTGGACAAATACAAGGTGTCCAAAAAGGGTATTGGCTATATGATATAGGTGTGCAAAAAATACCTTTAGTTTGTGTGCTAAATTTATACATTTAAAAAAAAAGTAAAGTCGATGGAAATTTATGTACCGAAAACATCCCTCAAATCGAGAACAAAGATTATTAATAACATCTGCACACATTGCCCAGATTTGCATCAGCTGGATTATTTTCTTACTCCTTGTTTTTCAGATAATTCCATAAAACATAATTAAGAGGTAAAGTTAACTCCTAGGGGATCAGTTAATATTGCCCCTTTTTGAAATCACTATATCACGGAATGATTGTTGAACAGCTGCGATTGCCTTATTTGATGTGTAGCATGCTGAAACCAAGTTTCTAAGTTGTACCCTTGAAATTGTTTTAGAGAAGGTGCAAGAAAATCTCGTAACACAACGCAATATTGCTCGGTATTAACGGTAAGTGCTCGCGACCTTGAGGCTGTGAATATGTTATCAAAATCATTTAACCGTTCCATCATCTTGGTGAGAAATCCGAATCAGATATTGTAATCCGTCACTTTTAGTTTCTGCTCCGACTAAATTTCACAGCACTAGGTCACAAGTCAATGTCTCGGAACTGATAATGAGCATGATACAAAAGGACGTGAAAATGATAAAAAATTCGTACGCAAACTAACTTTCCTTCAAAGTACCGATACCCTTTTTGGACACCTATATTAACTTTAATCCCAATCACTTGGACAAATTGAAACTTCTTACTTTCCCAGTACTTTAAAAGTATTTTTATGCTGTATACTCTACTCGATTATGGTACATAAACGTTCCTAACTACTACCAGAAGCATTCAACACGGACAAGTGGCTGGTTGACCCTCCCGAAAAATGATAAGTAAATATCTTTCTTTCAAGTGATATAATCATTAATTTATAAAATATTTAAAGTTAAACATAAAGCTGCACAATTAATTTGATGTGAATGGGTAGGTACTTATTATGTCAAGTTTTTTTTTCAAACAAACTTCTTAAATACTTGCAGATAGCAAGAGCAGTTGGGCGGGTTTATGTTACATTTTGACCTGATAGGAATACTACAAAAGTTCAATTACAGAGTCACTTTGCGTAAGTGGTTCTGATCAAGTGTATTTTTTGATCGTACGTATGGTATCTCGATAATGGTAATTGCGTGAGGGTGTTATTGGTCAGAAAACTAAGCAATTAATTACGTAAGATTTGTGGTTGGATTTAAGTATCAATTAGTATCAGTTTTCTATAGACGGAATGGTCTAAGGTTAAGTCTGATTTGCGATTAATAAGAATGTCTAAAAAGAAAAGGGTGTTGTTATTTTCTTATTCAATAGTGAAAGAGATGTTTGGGTATATAGGGATTAAGTAATCAGACAGGACTGAAGAGATGTTACTAGATAACAAAAACACCATCTACATATCTTTTCCACATTTTCAGTTTTAAAAAACAGCTAGTTTTTCAAAAAGATGACAGGAAAATTGGGGAACCTACAGCTGTTCTTCATATTTTATAAATTTTAAGATGTCTGAGATGATGCTGAGTGTGTCAGAAACAGGAACTTTAGTAAATTATATTTCTTATATTATTTTTCTTATATTATTGGTTGAAAAGAATTAAAGACAAATCTAGAACTTTTTTCTATGTAAGCCTAGGATTGTATCTATTAAGGAAATGAAATTTTTATATGCATTAACAAAAAACATGCTCTTTATTGTATTTATTAAGAAATACTTTCATAAAAAAAAAGTTGCTATCTGAATAAAAAAACAATTTTGATAACTTGAAATATTAACAATCACATTTTACCTAAGGTCGGGTACAATGCAAAAATGGTTTATATCACTTTCCCTGTGAACGACTTATATACTATGCGAAAACGACGAGAATTAGTACTAATACCATTACCTGCAAAAGCTGCGGCCAGTACTTTTGGTAATTCCCAGTACACATTTCGGGACAATCGCACAGTAACTTAGTGACTCCGCAGGCAACGATCTTTCGTTCGACATTGCCCGTAACTTTTTGAAGTTCCGCTATAAACAACTTTTCCAGTACCATTCCAAACATCCTGAATCAAAAAGACATTCTAAAGTCCAATAAAACTTATACGATTAAAAATGCCTCTACCTGAGCCGCTGTTATACTAGCATATTTATTTTAATAACTATTAAATATTTAATAAATTAATTCAATGAATTAATTAAAAGTTCGTTTATGTACAATATCTTTCTGAAAATAGGCTACTGTTGTTGTCCAAAACGTAGGTAATATTTACCCAAGAAAATTATATTTCATTTACTTAAAACTGAACAATTCTGAACAAAACAATAAAGAGTAATTGTAACTGTAATAATTATGCCAGTATTTCATTGTCTTCTGCTTTCTGTTATGATTTTTTTTGTGTGACCTACTTTTTCTTTTCAAGCTCTTTTTTAGTGTTGTAGGCTTTAAATTGGCCAGTGATCTTTTACTTAGATCTTTATGCTTTGATCGTTATTCTTGTGTTCTATTGACAATATTTATATTGTTGCACTCTTACATTTGATTTCATTTGTTTATTTTGTTGTACTTAATACACTTTTGCAGATTCGTTCTCTAGACATGTAGAGCAGAGTACAATGGCCGTTCAATAAGTCCTTAGAAAATCCAAGAGATGAAGATCTTAGCATAGCTATTAAGTAGCACTCCTAACTCCACCACAGAGTTTCATTGTTGTTGTCAATTGTATTTTATTTGAAAAGCTTGACGACAAAAGAAATTGAAAGCTTAGCTGGACCAACTTCATGGCACATCGGCTCCTGTATTTACAACCGTACAATTTGGGTGAGTGACTTGAAATGTGGTGATACATCCAAAAACGGTAAATGATGCGGACGCCCCATCGAAGTGTCTACCCCCGAAATAACTCACAATATAATTTTAAGTTGTAGGCGAATCAAAGTGCGCGAAATAATTGCTATCAATCAACATTAGAATTATCTTTTATTTTATGTGTAACATTGGAACAAAATATTAGCAAGCCATTTTTTTAAAGTATATTGAGAAATTTCCAAACACGGTAAACGATGTAGACGCCCTGTCGAATTGTCTACCCCCGAAATGACTCACAATATAAGTTTAAGTTGCAGGCGAATCAAAGTGCGCGAAATAGTTAAGGTCACACTGTTATCACAAGGTCCAGTGGCTTCAATTTTGCACGGTTGTAAAAAAATATCGCCAAGATGGGGGTGGGATACTCGCAGAATCATCTACATTGATTACAACTACGTTGAAACAACGATAACAGAAGAGTATTGAAAAAGCTGAGCAAAGCCATCAAGGAAAAACGTCCTCATCTGAAAAAGAAAAAGATCCTCTTTTATGAAGACAAAGCACGGGTAAGGTGTGCACAGTTGCGATGGCCAAAATTAAGGAATTAAAGTTCCAATTATTACAACATCCACTAACGGTAACTATGTCTGATTTCCAGACTTGAAGAAATAGCTTGTGGACAAAGGTTTACAACTGCCTATTTTGAGAAGTTTACTGCTTTTTAGACGGATTAAAAATGTTTTTTTTATTTTTTTCTAAGGACTTATTGAACTACCGCACTTTGTATGTTCATAATGAGCTCGAGTTTAAACCTATCCAAGTGCACCTTTACAAAAAAATATACTGTAGCAATGGAAAACGCAACACTTTTAAAAAGGCGCTAGTGGAAAAAATTATGTTGTGGCGTTCATTGTTTATTTTTAGTAAGTTTTACGTAAAAAAATGAAAAAATATACTTACTGCGTCTGTATACCATCCACGATGGAGATAAGCTCGTTGGGTGAGTATTTAACAGAAAACAAGGAAAAGAACACTATGAGATTGACAACATACTTTGTAGTCTTGCTGGACGACAATCGTTGGAATAGTAGGAAGAAAACTTGCTTCAAATACGGACCTAACCTTTCCCTAATTCCCACCCAAAAAGAAAAGAAAAAAAACAATAACAGCTGTTATAATTGTATGACATAAAAATATTACTTACGTCGGAAAGTGTTGAATTAAGCTCTGCATAAGATAGAATCCTTCGTGGTCATTTGACTTTGAAGCTATCAGTTTTTGAAACACCCCTAAGAAGCCTGACTGCAATGAACACGATTTGGAAAATGTACGGAAAGCAGTTACTGTTCTATTTACCAATCTTTTAAAGACAGAGAGTAATAACCGCTCATTATTTATGCAAAATGAGTACTGTTGCATTTAATCAGAACAAAAAATGTTCAGATTTTCTCAGTTATTTAATGAGAACAAACAGGAAATGCCAATTAGGTCTGTAGTTTCTTTTGTAAACTCTCAAGAAATTTTAAAATATCATCTTGCCTTTAAACCTAGATATGTTATCAAAAATTCGTTCAAACTAATCAACAACGTTAAAACTCCTAAGGCAATTCCAGTTTCATTGGACGTTCAAAAAATATCTCCTAGCATTCCACCAAGATAAGATTATAACTAAAAAGCAGTTTCAAATAACTCCGAACTTTATCTATCTCATATTTAAACACTGAACCCAAAATTTATAAAAAAATAAAATACATAGGAGAACCTAACAAGAAAATTTCGAAACATCTATCTAAATTTGGTCTTAGATTGCTTTTAAAGCTGAAAACACCATAGAAAAATTTTTTAAAAACAATAAAATGAAATCATAAAAAAACTCAAAAATCTGGAGTTATTATTATTACTATATACTTATAATATTATTATAAGGTCCTCAAATTTGGGTAATTAAGTAGGTACTTAATTTTATTACAGGATGGAGCTTTTGCTTATAATAATTTATTGCTCTCTGTCCTTAAGATATATTAATTTAACGGAGCCCACAGTTTTAATAATAAAAAATTTAACGACAGTGCGGACTTGAGTTTGTTGTTGATTACTGATATTTGATATAAATATGTATAACCTGAAAGCCATAATTAACACTCACCAGCTTGTCCTCGGCGGCTATCTGAGGCGCAGCTTGCGTAACGAAAGCGCTCAGCAGTCGTACCAAAGGACTAATGTTCGCCGGTCTCTCCCACAATACGGGCGCAAGGAGACACGGCAGTAGTTGCATGTAAGGTTCCGGAATCGCCCCGGGCGGAGTATGTTCCATGAGCAGTGACAAAATTTGAAACACGTAAGGAATAAACTCTGGAAAAAAAGTTCTTCAGATATAGGTACAAGGTGGCTCATTTGTTATGATCTTAAATAGAGCACTGAAGAATGGTTGATTTTTTCTGAAAATTTCAGACATTTCGCATACTATACCTAAGTCTTACCGTTTCTGACATATTTTGAATTTTATGTCAAAAGTAACGTTTAGATGTCTATATATCTATCTATATCTTTGATATAAATTTGCGGTTGCATTCTTATAGTTATTATATCTATATCAAATAATATTATTATTATTATTATTATTATTATTTTTAGGGTTGCCAAAAAGTAACATTAAAAATTTAAATGAAAAAATGGTTACGTCAGGGAAAACACTAATGGTAAATAAAACAAATCAAAGACAATTTTATTAACAGAACATTCAGAAAAAAAGATATAAAAATGAGATTTTTTATAAAAAATATATTTTTTATAAGAGTACTAAAATTTTAATTATTTCTATTATTCATTTAAAACAGTGTTTTGCTTTTCATGGGGATATTTTTTAGCAAATGTCCAAAGGTTTTTGATTGAAATTACCAGGCACATTAGGGGTGCAATTTTTAGTAATCGATTGTCATATTTTACCGTTATTTCCTTAGCGATTAATCAGTTAATAACCATTTTGACTTTTATTGATAATATTTCGAAATCTGCAACTATTTGAAATGGCAAAGATTATACAAAATCACCCTTTTATTAAATGCCAAATATGATATATGCTTCCATTTGGAAAAGATACATTTTTGTAGTTTTTGTCTACCCTGTTTTATTTATTTTTAAAATATTATATATTATAATTCTATTTAAAATAGTATATGGACAAATTTTCAATATACCCATGCTTTTGAATACATAAAAATCTTATTATGTCATCTCCCACAGGTTATACCTATACACTAAATAAAAAGAATAAATAAATTACCTTGAATGTCTTGCTGGAGAATGGCTTGAAATATAGGAAACAGTATGTCCTCAAATGATTTGACAGCAGATTGGTTTGCTCTGCAAACGATCCTGAAATAATAATTACTTTTCTTAATCTCGAAATATTTATAAATATGATTGGAATAAAGTTAGGCTTTTTTTCAACACATGCTAAAATGGGGTTGTGTACTTTAATAAAGCGGCTAATTGCAGAACCTTCCGACTATGGAATTGACACATTATTAAGCATTTCATTTGAGTTTTAAGTATTTCCTGTGTGTTACCACCCAAGTTCTAAATAAAGTATCTATTATTATTATTTAGCTATTTATTCTCTCTTTGTTGATTGACGCCGAGGTTTAAGCAAATCAAATAAAAAAATACTTAACCAACCTTATGGAAAGTGAAATTGTCTCAAACAAATAATGATTGAAGTGGGGCTTTGAAGGATTTCTGGCGACAACCTGCAATTTCTCAGTGAGTTTGGGTAGTGCGACTCCCAAGAAAGGGATAACCCGTTCTTGCAACGTAGAAAATGTCCTCATAATGGCTGAAACATGGTAAAAAGTGAAACTAAGGGTAATTTCGTAACAAAAATAAATATTACCTTTCATGATATACTCGTTTTCTTCCGACACTGGTCGTTCCAAAACGCCGAACAAGCGAGATATCAGTTCTCCCGCGAACGGCTCCAGCTTTTCAGCGGAGACGCTACATAAACAAAAATTTTTAAAACAATTTTCAACATTTTTCACGTCGAACACATATAATTTGAACATTTGCTGACCTGATAGTATCAAAAAATCCGCTCATACAAGTTATTTCCTAGAATCAGGGAATATCTCTGCGAGGGCGCAATATCCCATTTTTGACAGAAAAAAGTAAAAATATAATTTTTTGAATAACTTACTTGATTACTAGGTGCTCAACTAACATTTTTCGTAGCTTAAGCGTTTATTAATAAGTAACGGATATTTATGAGAGGTTTATAACACCTTAGCCTTAATAACAGTTTTTATAGTTTTATAAATAAATACCAAAACACTTTTATGTTTTATAATAGTGCACTGAAACCGTTTCGGTTACTTTAATCTATAAACGCTTTGATGTTGGTTATTTCGGATTTTTTAAAAAGGCGTTCTCAAAATTTTATTATAATGCTACTCTTGGGGTATTATAACATACTCTATAAAACCCTTATGAATCTTAAAGCAGCTCATAAATATTTTATAGCTACTATCAAAGCTATAACTGCTATCAGAGACGGTGCTGTTTTCCCAACTTCTTTTGTATGCCCAATTTTAAAAGGAATGTCTAGTTTAATTTTAAACTTTATCTAGATATTAAAAAAAACTTATACAATTCTGTGAAAAACAAATAACTAAACAAAGTGAGGTTAGTATTGCCTAATTGATATTTGACATTACTAATAGCTTTTAATTGGATTTCCCCTTACTTTTAGTTTTGTAGCAGTTACGAAGACTTTTATAAACACTTTTTTAGTAACTTATAAAACTATAAGTATTCCCACCTTAGATTTTTATTGCAAGTTTTATAAAAGTTTCCAAGAGGTTTAATATTACTTGAAAGCCCATATAAAAATAAGCATTTTCCGCATTTTAATTGAAAAAAAAAATCATGAGACATAATTTTAACTTTTAGGTTTCTACAAAAATTACGCTTTAAAGTGTTTAATACTTAAAAGGAAGGCGCGTGCTTTTAAGAAGGATGAAATATAAAATGATTCGATACATTTTTTGTGTCAAGTAAAATTAAGTTGTCGCAGAAAATTTTCTGAGTTTTTAAATTCTTATAATATAGTACTACTAGACTAATTAAATTCGATCAAAATGTTTTAAATAACATCTTGCAATTGTATCGCACAATAAATACAAATTTCATTGTATTTTTAAAATTATTTCGCTCAATTGACACAAAAAAAAATTGACTGGTCAATTCCATATATGAATATATAAAAATGTGATGCCAAAAGAGGGCATTTCTCGTTTGGTGTTTATAAGATTCTCCATTTAAGTGCTATACGGTTTTTATACTAGTAACGAACACGTTTCAGGAACAATTGAGGTTGCAGGTTTTATAAAATAGGGAATTGAAAACCAAAAGAGTTAGGAGAAAGTAAAACAATAAAGTAAATCCACAACATTGGCGGAATTTTATCAGTAAGGCCTTCAAATATTTATTTATTTTTTGAAAATAACGTATAAAACAAATTTTTATGTTGAATCATCATATATCATATTGTTTTATTGAACCTTATAGTTAGCTTGAGAAATAAAAGGAATCTGGATTTAATGAACGAACCAACCAAACTGATAGTCATTGTTGAAAATCACGAATACTGATATATAGAATTAATTTTTGTCGATCAAGAAAAGGTATATATTAATTTAAAGAATTCACTTACATGGCTTGATTGCTGCTGTTTTTCATTATTAAAATTTTCTCCAGCGAGCAAGCGGCATATGTATGCACAACCGCACTTTCGCTTTGCAAATGCCTGATCAGCTGTGGTATAGTTGATGCGACCATGTCGGCAGGCAAAATGCTCCTGAACGTCATGACGTATTTAATAGCATCTGCTTTTAACACGGGCAACTCGTTTACTACAATGAAATGCCATTGGATTAAATAATGGAGTTTTCTGGAAATGATTTCGAATATATATTGTTGTTTATGGAGTCTGCAAAAACTGGTTATATTCAATTATTTCAAGTATTTTCATGCGTCCGAGGTAGATATAAGTGAGGCTATCCTATAGAGTTACAAATACATCGATAAACCGATTTTTCGAAAACGCTACGCTCGTATAAATATGTATATCTGGGTAACGGTAGGCCCTAGAAGACCGTCATTGGTACAGAAATGGTCAGCGTTGGAAAAAAAAATTTTTTGTCTGTCCATTCTTCGTTCTCCACTTAAAATTTAACAGAACAGTAAAAGTCAGTACCCACATCTAAACAGTCGAAATTGGGTGGAATCAAAACCAAGCAATTGTTTAAAATTTTTGAAGATTTTTTTTGGTTATTTTGGATTTCAGAAAAACATGATTTTCTCAAAAAATATTCAACCGATCGGCAAAATTTTAAGACCCGGAAACGCGGGTTTTTTCAACTATGGACAAAATTCTAAAAGAGCGTGAAAATTGTACTTCTCCAGAGTAAATTATTAGGCGTAAATCAAATATCGTAAAAAAATATGGCGAACTGGTTTAAACAAAATTATAGGCAGCATCAAGAACTACAATTTTTGTATTTTGTATTTTTGAGAAAAAAAATATTTTCTTGAAAACCATTTACGCTATTGGAAAAATTCATGAATCAGGAAGCATGGGAGATCCAGGGCTACCACCCTTACCTTTAGCATTTTTTCGATAATATTCTAGGTGTGTCTTTAGTGAGCAAAAAAAATCTAAAAGACCCTGAAAATTGCTGTTTGTTGTGCGATTAGCTTGCATTTTTTCATTTTTTATAGATTATCAAAATGGTTTAAATATGTTTACCAGTCAGAAAAAAGGCATGTAATGTGTTAATATTTGGTGAATGCAAATTATCTGTGCAGACGAGAAAAAAATTTAGGGCCGATTTTTGAAAACGTTCCATCTTCAAGCAATTCTAAACTTCATTGGGTATACCAATTTTTCCAGGAAGGAATATCGAAGACCATGTTCAAATAGAAATGAGTTGGATACCAGTTTACCAATGTCAGATCAGGAAACATTTTTTTTTATCAACTTCAGCAGCAAGGAATTTTATTTTACTTAGAGCAAAAATTTTTCCTTGGCAGCACATCAATATCAATTTTCATTCTCAACTTACAAGCAGTTAAGAAGTTTCAGTTTATAGATGGACACCCTGTATTTGTGTGTTCCAAAAAAGTCAGAATTCACAAAAACTTGCTTAGACTTGCTTCTTCAATTTCCAACATAGAACACTGAAGGAGTTATCTAAGAAACTTCTTCAGAATGACAAATCTGTTGTTCGCAACAATTAAATTTGCTAACATCAAAATTAAATTTAAGGAAAAGGGAGATTAGCTTAAAATTTTACCATCCGCTCTTTCCAACTCAGGTAGTATGTGTTGCTGACAGAACTGAGTGATGTTTACTAACTGACTTGTCTGCGTCACGCCGTGTTTTTGAGTGGAACCTCTGCTTACTAACGATATTACTAAATACAGTGCGGCATCCTTGTTTCTCCAATGACTTTTTGGGTTTTCGGTATATTTCGCTAACATAACCTAAAAATTCAAGCCTGTACGGTAAAACTAGGTAGTTAAAAAGAAAAGGGAACCAACTTGAAGATATGCCCCAAATAATTCCATAATTTTTTGTTCAAAGTGGGTGCTAAGGGTGTTAACTAAATCACAGGCTGCTCGTCTCCTTGTATCCACGTCTGAACCCTCTATATCCCTACGAGTATATTCTTCGGGATTATCCTCAAAGAGTTCTTCATCAGACACTAAAATACACACAAAAATATATCACTACTGCATACAATGGGGAGATTTACCTCTAAACTCCATATTGGGTATAACCACTTTCTCACAGATGCTACTGAGCACAGTATTATCTTCAAATAGGTTCCGATAATGGTTCCGTTCTGCGACTGATGATAGAAATTGCAACGCGTTCGACACCAGCTAAAAAAACGTTTTTCGTCCATACTATTGTCCACAAGAACAAAAACGTTGCATCTCACTAAATCATATTTTGGCTGCAACCCGGTGTTAACCAGAAGACTCCAGACATCCGTTACAAATTGTGGTAGGTAAGACTGAAACTCCTCGTCATATTTCTGAGCGTACAATGCTATGTTATCGCATATTTGTGATTTTAACTGTTCCATAATCCCAGCGTCCTCTTCACTCTGATATAAACATTAGACAGAAAACAACTTTTTTCTGTTAATTTTAATTTGTCAATAAACTTCAAATTTGGTTATTTTGAGGTAAACCTCTATCAAAATGTGCAACTTCAGGACATTATTATTATTATTATTATTATTATTATTATTATTTTATTATTTTATATTATTATTATTTTATTATTTTTATTATTATCAACTATTTAGGTGTCGATCAAATCATACTAGCATTCCCTTAAGCAGTTTTTTAAACTGAAATTATTTCTTTAACAACTGAAATTTAAACTATCAAAATAATAAATAAGTCAATGAGTAAATCACGCGTGAAATCTGGTGAACTGGTGTAGTTTTCTTTTATTTAATTTACTTCTAAAGTAAATAAGTTTATCAACTCTGAAAAGAAAGAAAAAAAACAAGGCACAGAATATTGTGAATATAAAATTTTTATGTCCATTTTGAAACTTTGTGCAATTATCTATTAGTTTACTTATGGTTGTGTAAAATCTGGTGTATCAGTTTTGGATGGTGATTTGCACCTCGAAATAGGTTGTATTTAAGCAAACTTATACCTAAACTCAACAGTTTCTTCAATGATATTTGTGAAAAAAAATCTTGCAAGTGAAATAATCAGCAAGGATTAAAAACGTAAATGTAAGTTTTGGAAATATTCATTACTATATACAAAATTTCTGCTAAACAAAGTATTCAGTGTCAGGTAATAAAATTATTATTCTCTATTGAGCAACTCAATTCAATTTGTTCTAGTTTTATTAACCCACATTTTGACAACTAACTTGTAGGAAGCATACTTACATTAGTTTGCAGTACTTTTACATCAGCTACCAGCAAGGTATGAAAGTTGTTCATCCAAATTTGCATATTATCTTCAAAAAATTCAGGCAGATCTTGAAAATTTAAAGAGTAAAAGACCTTACAGATGAGTACCAGAGAGCTATAGATTACTTTCAAAGCATTAACATCGTTTGCATGAGTTTCAGCTAAATTGACAGTAGCCTGGAAATATAATACTATTAATATTGACTATTGATGTTTCTATGCCAAACGTACCACCAAGAGGTTGGTCAAGGGTTGAGCCACTTTCTCCAAAACATACTTTATTTCCAACCAAAGCTCATTAGATTTAAACTCATAACGGTACTTTTTAAATAGCGAATGTGCAGTTCTTAACACTCCATTTATTACATTAAAATCGCCTAAAACACATGCATGAGAATAATGTGAAAAAATTGTCATTTTGGCGAACCTGTAGCAAACTTCTCTACCATTTGCGTTATCAATTCAGGCCATTTCATAGGAAAATCAGTTTTTCCAATTATACTTATAGCATCACTTAGCTGCTTCTGAATTGATTCTGGTGATGTTAACATTAAGGTGACAATAAGATTCTTTATAGCAGTTCTATCTGATTCATGAATACGGTCTTGCTGGTCTTCTTCCTAATTAATAAAGTTGATAGAAATTGGCTTAATCATATTTTCATCCACTTACAATATTCCAGTTGCGTTTTATGTAATTTTTAAAGGCTATAGCACCCGTGACACGAATAATCAGATCCACTTCGGGTTTGTGTATAAGATTGAGCAGTAATAGTGGATAATTCTGATTGACTTCAATTTTTTCTAGAAATTTTTCAGCTAAAAAAAAACATAAATTATTTAAAGATACATAAAGAACAAATTCTATTACCTCCTACTCTGATATTTCGATCAGTACTTAGAGTTTCTTGTAGATATCTTGCTAAAGTTTGTATATTTTCTTCGGATACTTCCATTTTTATTACCTGTTCGACACTTAAAACTTTTAGTTTAATCTTTTCTTTGCAGTCTTGAAACTGTTTCTAACAAAAATTGGGAACACAAAACCTAACCTAATAAAAAACCGCGGAACCGGTGAAAAAATGGTGGGATAACCATAGAACCTTAACAATTATGTTGCTTTAAGCAAGTGTATGGACAATCCATCAATGGGCACCTGGGACTAGAATTGGATAATGGTATAAATTTTAATAAGAATTCGGTTAATTTTTTATTCAAATATTAGTTCAGGTAACTTTTTACTTCATTGGCTACCTAAATCAATTTAAACGAAAGACTAACTAGAATCAATCAAAAATAACTAAAACATACCAACGCTGACGATTTCAAACCGACAAAAATTGAAGCCAATTCACAAGTTCATAATAACGAAAGTTAAGTTTCCAATTCAGTTCCCGTTGCGGACCTGATAGAGATTTGCTTAAAAATTAAAGGAACTTTTTCTAACTGCTATCGATTAATTTTGTGTTGAAACCGGCGATGAGTCCCTCTTCGGTATTGTGACGTTTTCTAAAAATCGGTATAAATAATACACATGTAGATATATATGGTTATATTGACGCTTTTTTCTCCAGCTTTGCAAGAGCACCTCCTTATACTGGTGACGTCACCATCTTGGAAATTACATGAATTATTTGTATTGTTTCCCATTTTAATTATGTTATTTTGAGGGGAAAATTTCTATTACATAATAATGTATTAAGTACCAAATTTTATGAACACAGCGCTAAGCCTAATGTATGTATTTTTTTGGTATTGCGGGATTAGAACAGAAGAATAAAAACGAAAGAAGGCACGCCGGCGACTAACTCTCGATGACCCGGTAGAGCGACTGTAAATAAAAATGCAAATATGCCATTAGGTAATATTAAAATATTAAGGGAGTTATTTGCCAAAAATAAGAAGAAAATTTGCAGTTGTCATTTTTCTGTCATTATGAATTAACCTCAAAGATGTAGGATTAAATTTAAAAAATGTTTTTCTTTTATAATAAAACCATGTTTAAATAGTTTTAAGGTGTACTACTTCCCTCCCAGCATGAAGTGTTTGTCGCATTTCACAAGACTTATCTTAAATACCTCGATAAACACGTGTAAGTATAAGAATGTCGGTGCGAAGGATTATGGCATTAGGAGGACTGAATTAGTTGTTCTCAAAAATCTTGCAAGAAGTATAGAGAGACACTCTTTTCAAATATTTTGCACCGATTCAAATAAAAAATTAAAATTTCCAAAACAAAAAGACTTTCAATTGTACATTGAACAGAATAGAGAGAAATTGCAACACACTGAAGAGAAGTTGCGGGCAAAGGGTCATGTTATTCTACAAGAAATAAAAGACACAAAGACGAAAATTAAAGAGCGGGTCGGAGGGATTGTGGAGGTATGTTATTACCTCTATATTAATTTGTGTTTCTATTGTGTATCCTAAATTGCTACTCATTTTGTACTTGCAGAAGGAAAATATCTACACTATACCCAACTTTTTGTGTCTTGCTAGAATATTTGTGTCACCATATTTGGGAGCATTAATTGTTAGTGCAGACTATGATATGGCACTTGCAGTCCTTGGATTTGCCGCTGTAACTGATTTGGTAATAGATTGTAGGGTGATTCATTACTTTTCTTAAAATGTCGCTATTTTAAATCTATTTTAGCTCGATGGATGGATTGCCAGAAACTGGAAAACGCAGTCTTCCAAAATGGGCAGTTTCTTAGATCCCATGGCGGATAAAATTTTAATTGCCACTTTATTTTTGACACTTACCTATGCAGATTTGATTCCAATTGTTTTGACAGGCTTAATAATTGTCAGGGATGTGGCGTTAGTAGCTGCAGGTTTTATCATTCGATACCAGTCACTACCTCCACCAGTAATAGTGATTATTTGTTTTTTTTAATCAATTGGTTTTTGGTTCTTTTAGAAAACTTTAAGCAGATATTTTGATGCTTCCTTGGCCACAGCACAGTTGGCGCCAACTTTCATCAGTAAAGTTAACACTGCCGTCCAGTTGCTGTTGGTGGGGAGCACACTAGCAGCCCCTGTGTTTCACTATGTTGGCCATCCTGTGTTGGAATGTCTTTGGTAATTGTTTTTCTGTCATAATTAATTTACTTGTTTATTTATACGCCACAACACACAAACACACACACCGATATTATATATATATATATATATATATATATATATATATATATATATATATATATATATATATATATATATATATATATATATATATATAAGTGAGAGTAAACTTTTTATTTTTATAGAGCTATCTCCGCAGTTTTGAAAGCACTATACCCTGTGGCACACCAGACTCTACTATGTTCCTATGATCACTTATGTCCCATCAAAATTGTTTTCCTTCCGAATAGTATTATTATTAAATTGTGAGGAGTTCCTCTTATTCTTTTTTATTTTTAAATAAAATAAAATGAGATTAATAACAAGCTTTTGGTACTCTGTAATTTTAAGCACACTTATATTTCAGGTATATCACTGGTGCAACAACCATTGCGGCGGCAATCAGTTACGTACTAACCAAAAATACCTACAAGATGCTCACGCGAACTGATCCAAAAAAGTCGTGATAAAGAAATGTTAATGTTAGTGTAAAGTGTAAAGCATCATATATTTGTGAGGGATAAACTATAGGATAAGAATCGAATTACATGCTCTTGTATTTTCTCAGTATTTTTAATTAAAAATCACCAGTTCCTAATAAAGATTTATTTAAGCGCGAAGAAATTAAAAGATATTAAGGTACAATCAATTATAACACAACTTAAACGAGATTATAGAGGAATATCGGGTATCACAGATAAAAACAATTCTAAAACGATGGTAGTACAAGCACACCTAAACATGAAAACAAGGTATTATATTGAGACATCTCCATACTGAAGGGACCACTTCTCATAAGCGACCAGGCTCTGGGGCGATACACTTCTCCTGATACGTTTCAAAGATTCCAAAAAGTCACCCATAGTTATATGCCTCAATGAGTTTGGATCCATCTCTTTTACCTGTTCCGGTTGAAGTTCTAAGAAAACACACTGTCAGAATTGAATATAAGCGCGTAACTGGTTGTTAAATTAGACAACAAAAATTAGGCAATAATGTTAATTAAGTCTTTTTCAGTAATAGGTCCCAGCAAGCTAAAGTGAATAATAAGGTTTCAAACTGTCTGCCCTTAATGACTGGAGTTCCATATTAGGGGCATTGTTTTAATCAATCAATGTTTTAAATTTTTTCGGAATCATCTGTATGCGAATGAGACTGAAATATACTATGCTCATATATACAATAGCAATAAATAATATAAAATAGATTTTGTTTCATCAAAGCATATGTTGGAATTTGATTCTACAAAATCTATCATCATTCTATTCGGAAACAAAAGTGGTGTTAACGAGATATCAAAAGATGTCTTCATTAACTATTAATAATATATGCTCTGGTTTATGGGAACCACTAAAAGTGTAAGCCTAGTAACTTAAGTTTTCCACCCATATACCATTCTTAAAAGATCTTATCTTTCTTTAAAAGCCTTCTATTCCCACATGCAATACCTTGATCGCAACATTAAAAAAGAAATTTGCGACTCTATTATATTATCTTATTTTAATCATTATAACATTCTGTAGGCACCGCGCCTAGACAGTTGACATTTCTATAGAATTCAGAATGTGTAGAATTCGTGCATTAGATTTATTTTGGGTATGAAAAGACAGAGTGTGATAACCCACAAGTTTCAAAAAATTGATTGGCATTGGAAAATTGCTTTCTAATCTGTTATTTTATGAAATTAAACACGGGTATCCTCCTTACTTATATAACAAAATTACTTTTTCAAACTGATGTGTATCACCTAAATTTCAGGAAAAGCGCATTAACAATATATAAATATAAAAACCAATTTTTAAAATAAATGTTTCTACATAATATTTGTACTGATTGATTTTTTACTTTTGAAAAGAATCTTCAAAAATCTTTGTTGGATGGCCCATGGTTAGTTTATTTTTACAGTTGCCTTATGTAGTGGCAAAAATATGTTCCATTTTTTTCTCTTTTATGATCTTTCCCCTTTTTCCTGTAGTAATTCTCATTGCAGCTATTGAAATTATTGAAGAAAACTGCCATATATTAATTATTTTTAGTACATTTTGTTGAAATGAGTTTTGGTAGTGTAGTCCGAATTTTTAAATTGGCACTAACAATGAAGTTAGGCAACCTCTATACCACACTCTTGTTTCTTTGTAATCAACTAACTTGTTCTTCTAACGAATAAAATGTAAAATCCCCTATGTTAATTTGCCTTGGGAGTCTGGATAGACAACAGAACTGGTCTTTCAAAAGAATCTGATACACCGGCGTTTATTTATCGTACTTATGTTTTTTGTACTCTATATTTGGACGATAAACACTAAATGTTATTATTATTATTATTACATATAAGGGCTTACCCCTTATAGGACCTAAGGCTGCGTCTTTCGCCAATGCTGTAAGATCGCTCGCTGAATATCCTTCCGTTAAAGTGGCTAGCCGTTTAAGCTCTGGCTGGGTTAGGCTGCAACCCTGCTTTGAGAGCAATTTTTTCAGTAGTTTGACCCGGGTCTCCAGATTTGGTAGGGTTACGTATACTCTCTTTGTAAATCTTCTCAGCGCAGCCTCGTCCAGCTCTTGTGGTCGATTCGTCGCTGCCATTATTATCACCTGGTACAATAAAAATCAAAATAATAAGTAATAAGACCGTATTGCCAATTAAATGATATCAGATGATGCCATTATTGACAAAAAGTTACAATCAACCAACCCTCTCGCTTTCCGGGTTGCTGGGTAACCCGTCAAATTCCACAAGGAATTCGGTTTTTAGGCGGCGACTGGCCTCGTGCTCATTAGTCGATCGTTCCGACAGTAGCGAATCGACCTCGTCGATAAATATTATAGAGGGTTGCAGTTCTCGGGCAATGGCGAACAATGCCCTCACCATTTTTTCTCCATCCCCGACGTATTTGGAAGTTAGACTGGCGGCGCTTATAGAGAAAAATGTCGCCTGAAAGGATCAGCTTTTCAGTTCGATTTTTTCTTACTTTTCAATTAACTTACACCTACATGGGTGTAGTACTTAAAAAGAATTTGTTTATGTTACTGTGAAAAAGTAAGATGATTGATGAGTCGAGAGGGCCACTCATACTTTTTGACCACAACAGATTCAAAATCAAAGACGGAAGAAACAAAAGCAAAGTCCAGTCAGCGCAGTTGTGCAGTTACATCAGGTATGGTCACCTAATCAAAAATGATCCGTATGTCTTTATGTCTTAGCCTGACGCGGCTTTTCACACATATTTCAAAACTGACAAACAAAATTCCTGGGTCAATTTACGGCATCCAGTAATAAACTAGATAAAGATGTCATGCTATGACGTACCTACACAATTGCTCTGACTGGATTTTAGCAATTTTCTTAAACCTCCTTGATGATAGCTTTGTACTACACAATAGTTTTACTTACACAGAGGAAAAAAAATATATCTTTAGAACAAATTATCAAGAAGTTTGGAAAGTAGTGCTCCTAAAGCCAACTTAACTTTTGACAGATTGTTGAGAGAATCTAACTTAACTCTGACAAAAGCAGTCGAATTTTGAAGAGCAACAGAAGCAAGCAAGTCCCAGTTGAAGGTTCTGCAAAGCAAACTGGCAGTAAATGTAATTAAACATGATAAAAGTGCTGATAGAAGAAAACAGTCAGATGTTGCACATCAGCTGAAGCAAAATTTTTGCAAATTCTGTAGACACAAACACAAATTCAATGACAAGAAATGTCAATAAATGTCAATACAAAGCAAGCGCTGGCAAACCTTCAGGTCTAAACATATAAGTAAAGTTTTCAACAGACTTTTAAAATGTTGCTGTTTCTGATGGACCTATGCAGCTACATTTCTACCATATTCCATATAAATTCCGTATAAGTGTATTTTTTGTAAATAAATTGACAGTTTTATGTTATTTATATTTTGAAATAAATATATATTATTACTACGTAAATCAGTTCAAATGAAAATATTCCTCTGGTACCTTAGTTACTTTCTACCAGCTTATCTTATTATTTAAATTTCCTCTATTTTATCACAAACTATACCAATGAATACATACATACCTGACATTCGTTCGCGACAGCCCTTGCTAATAACGTTTTTCCGTTGCCAGGAGGTCCAAATAGAAGCAGCCCCCTAGCAGGGGTGCGCAGGCCTGTAAAAAGTTCGGGGCGCAAAGATGGCAGTATAACCATTTCCTGTAAGGCTTGCTTTGCTCTTTCTTGGCCGACAATGTCGTCCCACTGAATTGGCGGGCCACCTTCCACAATCTCATCCAAAATACATTGTGCCAACTTAGGATCTACCCCTCTTAGTGCCGGCACCCTCTTTGTAGGTTTCACTACAAAATCTATGTATATCTATTCAAATATTATAAAAGTTAATGGTTTTTACCTGTGCTGTTACTGCCACTCAGCTTCCTTGCAGGTGATCCCGAATTTCCTGGGATTGAAAACTGTTTTTTGATGGTTGGTGGGGTAGATGAAGTCTTATTGAATGGTCTCACGGGCTGAATTGGAGCAGAACGGGAACCCATAGATCGTGGCAAGGTCTGGCTCTTCGAGAGAGGGACATTTGTGGGGCGTCTGCTGGCCACTGTCAACTTCCTTCCTGAAGCTAATAATACAAATTATTGAAATATTAGTTTTGTGTTTTATGAGTACATCAAAATTTAAAAAAAGAAAATCTATTATTTTTTGAGCTTGTGGAACCAGAATACATTTTTTTTTATTTAGCAAGGAAGACAAGGAGATAAGGATAGATTTGTTAAAAGTTAGTTATTTAGATTTCCAATATAATATTTATATAGGCTGATTTTTTGCTTTAAAATTGTGAACCACCAAAATTTAAATTACCAAAAAATTGTTAAAATTGTGATGCTGCACTTTCAAAATAAATGCACAAAAAAAATTAGTACCAGTCACAAAAAATTATACCTGATGAGTCAGGAACATTTACTTTGTATGTGGGTATGTTACTAGTTAAGCTTAACTTAGGAGTAGATTTTGATTGAATATCCATTTGTCCCAGCCTACACTGACTTTCTACAAATAAAATAAAATGAAAACATTAAAATCAAAATAAAACAGACAGTCAGGTACATCAGAAACCTGAAATTTATGGGCATGCTGAGATAAACCAACCAACCTAAAAATTGTAAACGATCCTTAGCCATGGCCAAATTAGTTTTCATTTTCTCATGCAGGCGTTGTGCTCTCTCCCACACTTCCCCTTTTCCACCCCAACATTGTACTGCTATTCCAAGCTCCAGTTCAGTAATTCCCTTTCGGTAGAGCTCGATAGCTAAATCCTTTTGCCCTAATAACAAAAAATATATAATATATCTAAATATATTATTACATATATTTTAACCTTCATTCTCTTCATCAATCTTCAACGCTTTGGAAATATACTCAAACGCCCTTCTATGATGGTGTTTCTGCTTGGCCAAAAGCGGATCTCCAGGGCCAGGCCCCACAGCCCTCACTTGAGCCATCTCCGTAATTTCTTCAACCAAAATGTATTTATTGGGCTCCGTTTCTTCCGAAACCGTAGGTTCGTGACAAGTATAAATAATGTAACTAGACGAACGACAATAAATAAAACGCAAAATTATGAATATTTGATACAACAAAGAACGTAAAATTGTGAACAGAAATATGACGGGAAACGAGACTATGTACAAATTCCTCTTGTGCACGGAATCGCGCGTGTGCGAGCCGAACATCACATCCCCGTCCGCATCGGCATCAGTTTTTCGGGATTTTTTGCTAGGAGATTTGCTGTTTTGAATTTTTCGTACCATTCGGAGGTCATTTGCGATTATTTTGACGTTTAGACAAAGCATTCAATTTGGTAAGTGATTGTTCCTCCTTTAATGAAAAAGGAACTTAAACTATTATATTTCATAAGGAAGAAGAAATTCTAATTAACCAAACGATTTTTGTAAAATTTTAATTTACTTTTAAAGTTCTCCAATGTTTAAAATGTTTTAGGAAAATCTGCAAAAATGGCCGAGAAAGTTGCCGGTAGTAGCCACCGGTATGTTTTTATTCTAGTGCATACCCTACTCTTATTTTGAATCTAGAATGATACCTATTGTTTGCAGATTCAGCTGGCTGTTTTTAACAGCGGTCGTATTTTTGGCGGTATTAACTAGGTTTTACAAAATTCACGAACCTGATCATGTGTGGTAAGAAATACTACAGAGCGTGATAAATTACGTTACATGTCAATGTAACATTTCATATATTTTTAGTTGGGATGAAACACACTTTGGAAAAATGGGAAGTTGGTACATTAACCGAACTTTCTTCTTTGATGTTCATCCTCCACTAGGAAAGGTAGTTGTTTTTTAAGGCAAAAAAGATGTGATTCATTGAATACAAATTGTAGATGTTAATAGGCTTGTCAGGATATCTGACTGGATATGATGGTACATTTGCTTTTGACAAGCCAGGCGACAAGTACCAGAACACTAGCTACTTGGGAATGAGGATGTTTTGCGCTAGTTTGGGTGCATCCATAGTCCCAATGGCCTACTTAACAGTCAATGAAATGACTAAGAGACCCACAGCTGCCCTATTTTCTTCTTTGTTACTATTGTTTGGTAATTATGATTGGGTTTATTTTTGTTTTATTAATTATTATTATTTTATTATTATTTATTATTTAGATGTGGGTCTCATAACATTAACACAATATATATTACTTGACCCTATCTTGCTTTGCTTCATGATGGGCTCCATTCTTGGAGCAGTTAAGGTTTCTTACGGATGTTGCAAGGAGTTTTCTGCCAAGTGGTGGATATGGCTGATCTTCACAGGTGTAATGTTGGCATGCTGCACTTCAGTTAAGTTTGTGGGGTTGTTTGTTGTAGTCTTAGTTGGTTTAATGACTGTAGCCGACTTGTGGAATATTTTGGGAGATTTATCAGTACCTGTTGTAAGTGTGTATGTTTTATAAGAAGCTTTACAGTTATTGAATTATTTTGCAGATTCATACTGTCAAACATTTGCTGGCACGGGCATTGTGCCTGATTGTATTACCAATTTGCCTTTATGTGATATTTTTCTACATTCATCTTTCAGTTCTAAATAGAAGGTAAATCATTGAAATTTTCTCTGCAAAAGTAGTTAGATCTATTATGATGATACTTTCAGTGGAAATGGTGATGGATTTTATAGCTCATCATTCCAGTCCCAATTAATTGGGAACAGTTTATACAATGCAAGCATGCCTCGACAAGTGGCTTATGGGTCTGTGATCACCCTGAAAAACCATCGAACTGGGGGTGGATACTTGCATTCTCATTATCATTTATATCCTGAAGGGGTTGGCGCCAGACAACAACAGGTATTTAACCAACTAACCAGGTTGTACAAAATATTATGACTCCTATTTTAGATAACAACCTATACCCACAAAGATGATAATAACAAGTGGTTGGTAAAAAGGTATAATATGGATAAAACTGAAGATGTTGTGATTGTGAGGAGTGGTGATTTAGTAAGGTTAGAACATGTGTCAACAAAGCGCAACCTGCACTCACATAAAGAGCAGGCTCCAGTTACCAAGAAACATTACCAAGTGACAGGGTATGGGGAAAATGGAACTGGCGATGCTAATGATGTGTGGAAAATTTTAGTAATTGGTATTTTTGGTTTATTTGGTTATTTGGTTATTCCAACAAATATTGCTTAGGTGCTACTGATGGTGTTGAAGTAACTGCAGTTACAAGCAAGCTAAAGTTTGTGCACTATTTACAATCATGTGTTTTAACAACTAGTGGCAAGCAGTTGCCAAAGTGGGCATATGAACAGCAAGAAGTGTCTTGCAGTGCCAATCTTAGGGACCCGAATGGTTGGTGGAATGTTGAAGAAAATATTTTTGAACGATGTAAGTATTGATTCCATTCTAGAGACAATTTAAAACAGATTTTATAATGAGCTAGAAGGCAGATATGTTCTAAAATCTACTATAATGTGTTAGCTATTAAAATACAATTTTTTAACCAGTGTTATAATGCCTACTTTAGTTCAGTATATTTATTTAAGGTTTTTTAAAAATATCAAATAAATACCTTCATCCAAACCTCATTTTGCATGATTAAAAAATGTGTTTTAAACTCTGTGAATCATTATAATTGACTTATTTTGAATTTACTTTTTAAAAATTTTAGTACCCAGCGTAAATTTCAAAGTTTATGCGCCAAGCTTCTTTGAACGTTTCTTAGAGTCCCATGCCGTTATGTTTCAAGGAAACGCGGGTTTGAAGCCGAAAGAAGGCGAAGTTACATCGCGGCCTTGGCAATGGCCCCTAAACTACAGGGTAAGTAGGATTATCCCAATACCCTCCATTATTGATAAATTGTGTTTTCTTTCAGGGACAATTTTTTTCTGGATCGTCCTACCGTATATATTTATTGGGTAATCCAGTGATTTGGTGGTGCAACTTAGGGTTCATACTGATCTTTTTGAGTGTCTTCTTAACTAATGCAGTTAAAAGGCAAAGGGGCTACATTAAAACATTTTCTGGTAAGCAGTGATTAGTTAATTGAAAATTAGTAGCAAAAAAATTAAGACACATATATGATTCATTTCTATACATTGCTTTGCGACTTCGCAACTACATAAAAAATTAGAAAATTAGTAGAGGAATTTGTAAAATAAATGCAAACAGTGGCCACTGCCAACTTAACTATTTCCAAGTTTCTTACAAATTAAGGTCTACAAATTGGTAAAAACTGAGATTGTATGCTTTATAGATCTGGATAGGGGCAGAGTCAAGGCAGCTGCTTGGCTATTTTTAGGTTGGCTACTACATTATATACCATTCTGGGCTATGGGCAGAGTCCTATATTTTCATCACTACTTCCCGGCATTGCTGTTTAGTTCTATGATAACAGGTTAGTTTAAATCTGTACTCAAAAAATAACCAAATTGAGGTTTATTTTGTTTAGGTATAACCACAGACTACTTGTTGGAAAAGATCTGTTTGGTTTTTAAAGACAGGGTGTCTAAAACAGTCTACCACACACTAATAGGCACCATTCTGTCAATAATGGTGTATAGTTTCCACCTTTTTTCACCATTGGCCTATGGAATGAAAGGTCCCATATCAACAGAACATAACTCTTCAATGCACGGATTAAAATGGTTAGATAGTTGGGAATTTTAACTGTAGATAATTATTGTTAAGGGAATTAAGCAACTGTATTTTATGATAATTAAAGTGAATCTCAATATCTAGTAAGTTTAAGTATTATATTGAATATTATATAGTTATTTTCTATTACAATAATGCATGATATTTTTTTGAACAAAATTTACAAATAAATATTTTATAACATACATATAATTTAGAATTTTGTTTCAACCAAACCTGATTTACTGACTCAAACTACTCTCATTTATCTGTCATAAATTACCTGCAAAATTGCCCAACCACAATGACAAATTACTTATAACTGACATATTTCCTACGTCCTTAGTATTTGAATGTGGAATTTACATGCAGGTAAACTTTGCACTTCAGCAGTAATCAAGCAATGGATGTTTAAATTGGCAAGACTTCCTCTGATGAGACCACAAGTAAATGCAATGTAAGGAGGTGCTACTTCCAAGTACTGCTTGCTGTTTGACATCTTATTCAGAATACGAAAGTTATTGTCTTGCAAAACATATACACCCTGATGATTAGTTCTTAAGTTGTCTATTTGCTTTTTATAGATTGCCGACCAAAAGTCAGTACAAATAAATTTCATGGTGTCTAGTTCCTCTTTAAATCTGGTCATTTCCTTGGTTAGTCTCTCAATTAACCTGTATCCCACTGAAAACCCCACGTATTCCAGAGTTGACAAGTCTTCATCCTAAAACACAAAGCTATTTACTAATTTGTCAAAGAAACTTCCACAGGCTATGGTAATCGTTTTTACAAAACTTCTGGATTCCTCCTGCGTCGGTTTTTGTTGAAGCGAACTTGCTAACGTTTCGCCAATCATCCCGTTGACTTCTTCAGATCTTGACTGAAACTGCTCAAGCTCTAAAGAAGCCAACAGGATGATTGGCGAAACGTTAGCAAGTTCAACTCAACAAAAACTGACGGAAGAGGAATCCAGAAGTTTTGTAAACGCTATATTTACTAACCAATTACCGTAGGACTATTTACCTTTCCTTCTTTATTTTTGCTATTGGACTCTAAAACGTAATTCACTATCTCGGAGTGCAACAAATCAAAAACCACTTCATCCGCCATGTCACTGACTAAGTTAATTATACGTTTCACAAACACTGTTGGGCGAGACTACTAAGATCATTTGCCCATTGCCGACTTCCGTCGAGGATTTTCGCTTATGGTCAATGACCAACACAACGAAGAAGAAAAATAAGCAAAATTTGCTCAGCTAGCAAAAAACAGTTTTGACCGATACCATAAAAAACCGGCATTCCCCCGGACCATCCGGGCCCATCCGGCCTCCATACCGGCGTGAACGGTTAAAACAACGGGGCCGGCGGAACTTTTACACTTAAAACAAACACCAAACACTGCCGAAACAGAGTCACACAAATTGAAGACCGATACTAAAGGTTTTTCGAACGAATACAGCGGATTCTGCTAGGAGCGAACGGAGGTTAAACCGCCGCGTGCAATGCTCCACCACAGAATTTGTCACTGAGTACTAAGTTTGAAGGATTCTGTATTCTGTACCTATGTTGTTCTTGCTTTATTTTTACTATGGGCTACAACCAGGAACGTTAAACAAAACCTGCCCGCAGAAAAAAACCGCTCTAATATAGAAAGAACCAGCAGTTTGGGACGATTTGAGCTAGCGGTTTTTGTTTGTGACAGTTTTAAAACTAAATAAACCTGAACGTAACGTAACTTTCTGAGTAAATGGACAAGAAGTTTTTTTCAAAATAACGAATAGATGTTTGCAAAACTTTCTGCCTTAGTGGACATTGGGTTTTCACTAAACACTGACCAGCTGGTTAACTTGCCTGCCGAAATGAAATCATATAACCAGTAGTCACCGACATATCTTTAGCAGGGATATCAAAATTATAAGTAACCAAAACTAACCAACCCTAACAAAAAAAAAAGAACAGAATATAAATTTTCAAGTTTGGACGTCAGCCTAAAGTTTGGGAGGTTTATTTTTAGCGTATAAGGAAAGTTATTTGCTTTTAAGAATGGGAGTTATAAATGCGACTTCTATTAATGCTGCATCTGAATCACAGATGGTGCAGACATTCATCAAGGAGTTGAAGTTGGAAATAAAACTGCTAAGATTTACACAGAGATGTCGCCAGTAATTATGAGTTACTTAGGTTATTGAAATATCAACTTGATACTAATCAAACGTTCGAAACATTTTACCAAACAACAATAAATATAGAAATTTAATGAAACGATCAAAATGTAATCACAATTGTCTCCAATATAATTGGCAAAGCAATTTATTTTGTTAAAGGAATAATTTCAGTTTTATTAAAAATCTTATAAACAAAAGACATTTTTGTATTAACCAGATTTGCTAATTGTATGCAAGACGTGTCGCTGTGTTAAATAAAAATAGCGCAGGACCCTCCGAATATGGTCTCTCCTTACCTAGCTACTACACCTTACCATCCCTTCAAACGTAAACGTATCCCGTCTAATCCTACCTGTCGAGATCTATCCAGCTAAGTGCACTTCATAGTCAAATCACTCTGATCAAATCCCCTCGCTGTTTGATGAAACAACATTGACGATAATATGATTTACCCCTCCCGAAATGGACCACAGAGTTTTTTTTAACCTTAAGGTTAACTTTTAGAAGTCCATTTCATCAGTGTCAATACGTCTGTGGCACACTGAAGTATTAACAAAATAACACTGACCGAAAATCAAAAAAACTCCGGTATACCAAGTTTCAATAAAATTGCAGGCAATATTCTGAAATACGTGACTATTCTCGGGATTTTTGACTAACCCTGTGCAATGTAGATATCTGTAAAATATTGGGATCTGTGGAAAGCAAAACTGACGTACTGAAGCGACGCTTTCCGCACTCTAGATCGGTGTATAATTAGCTATTTTACAGAATGGAGTAGAAAAAAGAACTTACACCATTATGCATATAACGTCATATGATTTTTTTTTAAAGAAGTAGTAACTCTCGTGTTATAATTCAGTCAGAGCCGTCGTGTAGTTACGTCACGTATAATGACGTAATAAAATATGATCCCTATATCGGGAGGAACCAGTTTTTTTTGTCATGTATAATTTGTTTATTATTTTCATTAATTTTATCAAGATTACTAAGTTATTCAGGTTCAGAGTAAAAAATGATTATTATTTTTTTATTTTGTTTCATTTTGCTTGTGGACACATTTTAATACCTATGATTCCACGGCCGGTCAACTTACGTTTTTCTTATTACACTGCGTTTTTAAAGGTTAGTTTGCATCAGAAGTACATAGTATGATCATTTTTTTTTTTTTTTTTTAGGACCAAATAATACAGCGTGTTTCATTTAATGTTTGGACTATGTCTCGAAAATGATTTGTCTAAAGACTTTGTTGACTACGCCAATGGATTCCATTAAAAACATCTATCTATGGCAGTTTTTACTTTTTTTCCAGGTGGCATAATTTTGTTTGCGGCATTCAAAGTTTCACGACACAGAGTCGTAAAGTTCTATCTCTGCTAGTTACCGGATCACAAGCATTTTGAGATACATATTTAGGTAAATACTGTATTTTAAGTAATTTTTGAAAGAATACTTTCGAAAAATACATACTGTTTTTTTCTGGCCAATAAAATTTTTCAAAACTTTAGAAATATATTTGGGTTTCCTAAGTATATCATTTGTATGGGCTTTTAAAAAAGATTAGAATAAAATTTTATTTTGCACAAATATTTAAGGAAAATATTTTTTCATAAGTTTATTGAATTCGAAAGGTCACGGTTCGATCGGAATACATAGTAAAACGAGCTCGTTTGGATGGCCCATTGAGCGCTAGAAGGGCGCCGAGTGACGGAAGAGTTTATGAATGAATAAAATATGCCTGTACGCTTAGAATAATATTCGGCGCAAACGATTCAACAGGTCGCCGCTTATAATGTATATCATGCCGCGGTCAATATTTTTGTTCCGACGTCCGTATCATCTGACAAATGGACATTACTGTTTCGATTGTAGTTCTGTATGCGATGACGTCACGTCGCATACGTCACGAACTGGGCTTTGCATAGAGTTCAAACGGTTGAATATGTCGCGAAATAACTCGATTAAAAAATTTTGAAAATATTTATTTATCTATTTCAAAAAGATTTATTTAATACGACTTAAAACACTCCTAGATCGTTGAAGTGGGACGGCGTGGAAAAAAGATCTTAGTCTTGTCTGAATCATATTATTTGAGTTGTATACTAACCTCTTGTTTATTTTTAAAATTTTAAATAAAATTAAATGCAAATGTATTTTAATATATATTATGTTCAAATTATACTAGGGGGTAGGGGCTCCCGAGAGTGTTTTGATAAATTTGACATTTTAAAATGACGTAACACTTTGCGCGCGCAATAGGGACTAAAAAAATATGTTAAAACGAAGGTATGACAACACCAAAGTCGTATTCATGAGATTGATTCGCGTATTTCTTGATAAATCGTATTTTTGGCTTTTTTAGTAAAGCGCCATCTACCAAGGATTAATAAGAAAGCTGTAATATAAAATGGGGGTTTATATTTGAGATTTCATAGCAAAGCAAAGCAAGCTCAAATACCAATTTATTATATCTATTAAAAAAGTCAACATTTTTAAAATTACTATTATATTATTATTGTTAAATTTTATTAAAAAATCAGTTTGGGAATTACTTAAACAATAATTCTTAGTAGTCTGGAGAAAACAAATAGGGTAGAAAATTTTAGATTGACAATCTAATCATTTTATCAACTTAAAAACTGTAAACGTTTTATTTAACTAAGGTCAACTTAATACAAACGAAACAGGGTTAACGGAGTAAAGTTACGATTAAACTTACGAACTAAACTCAATAAGTGGCTTATACGGCAAAATTAACAACCAACAACGCAATACCAAAGCAACAATCAATTTGTCAAAAATCAAAAGGCAGAATTTCCACGTGGAGGCCGCCACCACATGTGACCAATGTAAAACGCATTTATTCTTGACGACTTTTTAAAGTGGCATTACGTTACTCGTATCCTTTGCAATTTTCCCGTTGTACGCGAGAGAGTTATTTGTAACCACCTGTTGTTGCTCGGCAGTTTGTTAACCGGAATAAAAGTAATAAAACAAACAGGGGTTGCATATACGCGTACGGGACAAAGACGGACGAGCATAACGACCTTCCGTTATAAAATAGCTCGTGTGATCCACGTGGTTATACCGGCAAAATCAAATAGGTACCATCGTGCCAGCCTAATGATACGTTCGGCATTATTTGGTTCGTAAATAATTCGGCTCTTTAAATTGCGATTGAGTTGGAGGATTTATAGGCGATAGACATAATGCAGTAACTTGCAGGTAAAGTATGTCTCAAGGTATATCATTTTCGCTTTTGACGGACTCTCCTCCAAGAAGTATTTACCACCTTCATACCTATTGTTACTGGGTAAACGCAACAAGCAATAATACGTAAGGGACAAAACACAGGCGAATCAGGGGGATATAGGGCACGTATCGGCTTCATTATAGCAGTGTTGGATAACCAGTTTTAATGTGCATTTCGAAAAAGCTTCCTATGAGTATATCACTAATTTTGTCGTTATGTCGCGTCAAAATATCTTGTCATTAGATGCAAAACAAATTGTGAAAAATGTATATGAATGTTTAGTAAGTAAAGGATTCATTAAGAGGATTCATCAAAAAGTTTTAAACGAAACATGACTACCTACAAAACTAACTAAACTAATTGTATGAGAGAAGGTGAGATGTGTTAATTACTGGTTTAGAGATTAGGGTTGAGACTAAACTACACTTCACCAAATCACTTACACAAAATAACTCCGTAATTAATTATTATAATTATTAGCCTTCATATTCCGTCTATTGAAAACCAACTCTTACTGATCGATACCTGCATTGCAATGTCACATCATCATCCAGCTCAAAAATCTTCCTTGATTAATTCCTTAGTTATTAGAGCAATTTCATACGATCGATCAATGATATACTTCTCCACACAAAAGTAACTCTCTAAATTAATCCTCTATTAGCCACTATAGTACTTCCGTATTTTCAAAATATCACCGTCCAAACACGAAAAATGGAAAACAGTACACGAATTACCGAACTGAGAAATAAAATAAAATTGATACAATCAGTTTGAATTTTTTAAAAGTCGGTCTGTTTCAACAAACTGTTCTTGAAAATTTTGGTGTGTACTGACCTCTGCAGCAGTATGTAACTCTCAATAATTGTAAATCTAAAATATTTTTTGTTACAAGTGAAATCCCTCAAGGCTTCCGTTTAGGAGCTTTGCTTTTTGGTATATTTTAAAATAAGGTTGGTTATTGTTTTAAAAAATCCATATAGCTATTAGATAACATAGTAGTCTTACTACGTAGCCCTTAAAAATTGGTGCACCGCAAGCGGCTTTGATTGTTTCGTAGAGAAGATAATGATTTTTCGCTCATGATTGAATATTTCACCCACTAATCCCCACTTTGCGCCATTTTCTTTCTAAATAGCGATTTCCACACACTTAATTCATTTAACGAAATCTGAGCACATTTATATTGGCGATCTGTCAGTGGCCATATTGGTTGTCGAATACTCTTCAAATCATCGGTTAAAAATGAGATTTTAAATCTCGCGCATGCGCAGATTCAATGGACTTTCCCAATTTTTTTTACATAGTTTCTTCCTGTGCTATCAGCATAGGCAGGGACTCTATTTGTTTAGTAGCTACATGGAAAAATCAATGAGCAATGCGGAATTTGAGGATTTGACTAACAATTACAATTGTTTTTCTGTGTACTATTGTAAGACTGGTTCTTCAATATTCTTTTGTAGCGTGAAATCCTAAATACGCAAAATATGCCGCTAGCATTGAAAACGTTCAAAAATATTTTCTACTCCCGTCTGTAACATACCTAATTACACACCGATCTACCACGTCAGTTTCGTTTCCCACGTATTGGAGCCACTTCAGACATTTCCGGGATTTTACCGCACGGGTTTGGGAGCAATCGGATGTTTTCGGAGATTTTACAGCACGGTTTGAATTTTGACGTTTGTTAATTCTGACGGTCCTGTCAGTGAATAAATTCGTGTTGTTTTGCGAAAATGTACCCAAAAACTAACACACAGAAAAATATTATGCACCATACCAGACAATTTAAATACTACGTGCTATAAATCTAGTTGACTAGTCGGTAAGTAAAGTGACATTTATAATTTGTTTTCCACACAAGACCGATTGTACCATTTTCAAATATCCATGTCTCATTAGTACAAACAAAACAAAATTGATGCTTTTTCTTGCTTATACGATTTTAAAAATTTAATCCTTTTAAAAGCTCTATCCTTGGATGATTTTTCTTCCAATTACAGTCTTTTTCTTTAAATAAACTACTTAACGATCAATTTTAAAAGTTAAACAACATAACGTTTTAAAATTGTGTTTATCCCGTTGCTTATATAACATATCCAATAATCTCTCTCCCTGCCTCCCTGCCTCCCTCCCTCCCTCCCTCTCCCTTTTGTTTCATTCTGTAAAGGTTATTAATTTATTAAATTAAATTTATTTTTGTTGTTTAAAAAAAAACAATTATAGTCGCTGTTGGGCAACATGTTTTCAGTAAAAAGGTCGAACTTAGAAAAAAATAGGAGAATGGAAAATACATTTAAGTTTTTCCCTTATTAAAATAAAAAAACTGTATATTTGCTCTAAGAAAATATATTACTAGTGTCATTTGTTAAAAGACACTTTATCTAGATAATTAAAGCAAAATAAACATACTTCACTATAGAACAGATAAATAAGCAACTACTGAAAAGTGAAGTTATAATTGCATAATTGATATTTGACATTTGCGCTTTAATATTTTTCAATTCAACTTATAAAATCATAAGTATTCCAAAATCACTTTGGATTTTATTGCAAAAGCAATGGTGTTATCAGACACCTGGGTAAGTTTTATAATAGTTTTTAAAAGCGAACCTGGTGAACGTGGCCCGCCCTTTTAGGTCTATGGCGGCTATTGTTATGTTTTTTCGAATTGCCATAAATTCCTTCATTAAAAAGGAAGAATATCGCATGTCAAAAATGTGCAAATAAAATGTTTTGCATTTTAATTGAAAATAAAAAAAAGGTTAAGATTTTGATTAAAATTGCATTTTAAAGTGCTCTGAACTGGATACTCACTTTTAGGAAGGGTGAAATATGAAATAATTTGGTAATTTTTTCGCGCCAAATAAAACTAAGTCGTCATAGGAAATTTTCAGAGTTTTTGAGTCGTTATAATATTTAATAAGACATTTTGATAATACTGTCAAAATAAAAATCAAAAAGGTAAAGAGAGACAGTTTTTTCTTTGTTAGGTGTTTATAAACACTGCAGGAAAGTGCTAAGCTATAGACTATAGTGTTACCTTGTAAGTTTAATTTTTTTTTGTAAAATTAACGAGAACGTTTCACGAACTATTATAAAACAAAAAAATGTTGGTTTGGCAGGAGCCCCCTCCTCCAATTAAAACGCTCGTCAGAAAAACGAGCCCCTAAAAAATAATCCGAAATTACAAATTTTCAACAGAATAAATTTATTTGGCCCCCGGCGTAAAGCTATTTACATAAACGCATTGGATAATATACGTATGTATAGGTATATCTGATTTTTATAGACACTTGTTGCGTCTGTTTATGCCGACCGAGTAAAGCTAATGAAATTTTAAAGGGCTGTAATTCTTTAAAGAGGGCGAATCAAAACACGATGACGAATGAGTTTGCCGTTCGGTTCGAGTTTCCGAGTGCTTTTTCACTGTCCGGGCCAGGCTGGATTTCAGATTTGATTAGGACGATTATTGTACTACAAGTATACAGAAGGATTAATGATGGGGCAATTGTTGTACGATTTGTCGAACAATCAGAGCAAGAATTTTGCGTTATAATAATAACAATAGGTTTATTGAATAAATAACATTTCAAGAAATACAAAGTAACATGTTCGCGTGACAAAATTGTAGCCAAAGGCTTTTATGATAGTCAACCACCTGGTTTTCCCAGATACTGTTTAAGCCTCAATATTTGTAGTATAGAATCAGAAGGCGAAACTAAGTTAATATATAATTCAAAATATAAAGAAAAAAAGTGGGTAGAGGTAGCTGGTAGCAAAAACATTAATATATATGCGTGTTACCAAAATTATTTAATTTTATTTGATTAAGACAAATCCAAAATAAATGAGACTGTAGGAAGATTCGTTTTAGTCTATTCTTGAATACACAACAGGTCTCGGCGAAACTGGATTCATTCAATGAGTCCTTCAAATTATAAGAGTAAGATATTTAAAAAATTCTTTTCTGTGCTGCGGTACCGTAAGTAGGCCTTAATGTCCTAAGTTTATACCATGAAAACTCATTCAAAATGAAACTTTGTTAGATAGGCAAGGAAAGCACTCCTTTTTAATGATGGTATAACATAACTATCATATGGAACTTAAATCTGTTATGCATTGTCATTCTGAAATTTGTAAGTAATTAGAAATATGCTGACGACTTTGTACCGAGTAAATTAACCTTCTGAACCATTGAATCATGACAAATATTGATAAATAATAATTGAGATAAAAAAAAAGATGAAATTTGTTCTGACTGGAATTTTTTGAAACTGGATACATTGTATGGTGTGTTTCAAAGTATATACTCTTGGCTTTTGATGGACCCTTCCCCAGAAAGTAATTACGATGTCCACACCGATTGCTGAGTAAACTTAACCACCAATGATTTATTCCTAGGTAAGGGACTAGACAGGATCGAGTCAGGTGGATGTCGATCATTATGTGTGTTTCGGAACAGCTCCTTACGAGTATATGACTAATTTTTCCATTATATACGTCAATTGTCAAAATGTGTATGAATATTTATTAAGTAGAGGATTAACTAAACAAAAATATTAAAAGAATCTGGAACTTTATCAAAACCAGATTGTTTCTACTTTGGATAGACTAAAAAGGAGGTTGGAACTAGATTAAACGAATATAATTATTAGCCCACGAAACAGCATAATTCACGCTGGATTTATTCCAAACTCCTTGCTGTTGTCTTCTTGTTAAGCATATTAACACTCTAGCTTGGACTATCTATATACAAAAGTTTTTAAAGACTGGTTTCAAAATTATCTGTTTAAAATATTGTGTATAACAGTGTTATTGGAATGGATTACACATGCTATCCCAGTCACCTGCTACAAAAAGCACCATAAAGTAGTTAAAAAAACTAAAATTCAAAAATAATTTTTTACAAAATGCTATTTATTTTGAATTTAGTTACAGGAAAGGACAACTTTTGGAAATTTTAAATTCATCCTATTATAAAACAAACATCTTCCTCCATATCATTGTATATTCAACCCCATAGAGCATTTGTGACATGAAATAAGTAAGTAAGACTTTAGGTCGGAATGTAATAAATTGGTAGCTCAAAAATGCAGTGCAGCATCTTAAAATTTAAAATAACATAGAGCCCAATATACCCAACTTTAATGACGACTGTGAGAGTGAAACAAAATTGAATTTTGAATCAAATCTTATCTTATATTCTCGTAGTACTAATGTTAACCTAATATAATATAATATTTAATGTATATATTTTTCTTAAAGTACCGACTGTTAAGATGTTTTATTACTGTCAGTAGATTATTTCAGTAATTACCGTCAAAAGTCAAGACGAAATAGTTTGTGACAAACCATGCGATGTTGTATTTGTTCTCTGCTTAACTGGTTCTGTCCCCTTTACAAACATTTGCGTCCCCTTGTTTTTATTTTTTTGTTTTTCATTATTATTTTTGTTCCCAGTAGTCTTCTAGTTATTATTAATTAATAAATTATAATGCAGTCCTCGTCGTTATAAATCGATACTATCATAACCAAAATTTTAAAATCGGGAAAATGAAATACTCGAATAGGGTGGCGCAGTTGCGTAATCTGAAACAAAGAACATTCGATCCGACCGGCACGTAAAATAAAATATTTCACGCGACACCCCGTATAATTAAAACTACGCCTTCGATATAATCAAGCCCGCGTTCGGAGGGTTCCTCCGGCATCGCCGCCGCCGACGCCACCGTCGCTAGGAAAACCGGGCGTTCCCGTCCACGTTTTTCTATATTTTTTTTCCTCTTCCCTCTCGAAATTTGTGTAGCGTCGCTCGGGGCGCCGACCGAACCAGCGAACGGTCGTTTCGCAGCGGCGGTTCGGCATCGGCCGTCAATAATTACGTCGCCCTGTAGCGCGGAGGCCGTAAACCGTGGGGCGGCGGGTGGGCGGTCGGGCGACTGCCGCCGTACGGGGACCGTGGGGGAGCTTAACGGACGTCGGTCGGGATCCCCCCGCCTCCCTTCACCGGGGTAGGCGAGCGGAGCGAATGGAAAACCCCACGTAGGTGTACCGTCAGGCCGGAGACTTTCCTTTGTTTCCCGAAAAACCCAGGCCGTTCCTCTGGAAACGCTTCCTGTTCGCCAAAATTAAGTCGACGTCGAACAAAACAGGCAGTTTCCCTTCCTTCTCTTTCGCTTTTGTTCAAAGACGATCGCCAATGGCCCATATACAGGGAGTCAGCAGCAAAAATTTGAAAATGTGCAATGACCCTAATGTTCGTGGGAGCAATCCGGTTAAAAATGTTCAAGATGGCGCAACATCCTGATATATTGAAAACGGGTGTCGGCTTTCTTAATTTAAATAGAACACCCGATGTATTATTGCTGTGTACGATTCCTCGGAGATTTCTAGAGATATCTCATGCACAATATCCTTCTAAATGTCACTGTTCTGTGATATTTAACACTCAAACGTCCAAAATGACGTTCGTAAGCCTAACAATATATGTAAATTTTCCCCTTTGCTCTATTAAACTTACCCTACAGAAAAAATAGTTAACAAATTTGGAAATTTCGATTATTAATAAAAATAATAATTAAAAAGAAATTTAAAATAAACCACCTATTTTCATAATCCTTAACCTTTTACTACGTTTATAAATTAGCGGTTATTTTGTATTAGGTTGTATATACGGAATATTTATAATGTTGAGATATTGCCGTTTCATTTTTGTCCACTTGATCTGTTTTTAATGTTTAATTAATATGAGCTAACCATGACGAAAGGCGGGACTGACGCGGCGTAAAAAAACAAAAAAGGTTGTTGTCAGATGCCATATAAAAATTATTATCAATACTTTTTACAAATCTTCAGGATTCCTCCGGCATCGATTTTATTGACGTTTCAGTTTCAGTTCAGTTTCAACTTCAGTTCAGTTCAGTTTTACCTTATTGTAAATAGCATAAGATTATAAAAAATTGATGGTTTCTATTGGAATAAAGATTTTTGGCAATTTTATTTTATTTATTATTTGTTTAAATTTTCTGTATTAATAATAATCGAAATTACTAACAAAATTTGTTCAACAAAATGTTAAAGAATTCCATATGGAAAAATGTACAGATATGCAAACTTCATTTTTGACAAACTATCGGAATGTCAGAAATCCCGAAAATTCAGGTATAGACTATTTTTCATGTCCACAATATTCCGAAGCATCCAAAAAAGCAATAATCGTATTCCATTTAAAGCAAGAAATCTGACACCCACTTTCCGGAAGTGCCGCCGTCTTAAAAATATTGTAGCGGGATTGCCCCCACTAATATTAGTTTAATTCCAAATTATCAATTTTTTGCCACTTTTAGTTTTCCTATAACAGATCGAAGAAGTTCCCGGTTTGCGCAAAAAATGAGAGTCTTCTGCTCTCCCTCTATGAGCCCTTGTTTCAGTTTAGTAATACGATGGATGATTGTACCAAAAGGAGAATTTATGTAAATGTACTGTATATTTATACTACTTAAAGAAGTTAGGGATCGATGCCTCGCCGGCGTACTACTTTAACATATTTTTATACTGCTAATATTTCAGTATTCATCGAATTATTAATAACACAGAGTGACACTGCACCAAATTAAAAATTTGTATACCATTAGAGTCTCTGAATTTTGCGCAATCAATATGAAATTTTGCACACCTTCCTGGAGAAAGTTGCGACATTCCGAAAATTAAAAATTTTAATTCAAATTAAAATATAATTCATTTCTAATTGATGTTTAACCAAACACTTTTTTTGTTTTAATTAAATTTTTATTAGCTATTTCTTGAATTCAAAAGTAAGAAGAGACCTCTTCTAAACGCACCAGTGCAAAAGTCTCCAAATCGTTACCACAAACTGCCGCAAACTGATATTTCCACATGCACTCAGTGTTGAAGGAATATAAATTACATTTATTGAAACCTATAAGACTAATGCAGGAATTTTTAAATAGATATAACGAAAATAATTAAAAAATATATGTATTACGGACCGATGAAATAATCTATAAATAATCCCAGAATAGAAATAAGAACTCAAAAGTCAGTAGGAGTAGTCAAAAGGAGTAGGTTAATGTATGGTAGTGGGTTGTAGGTAGGTCAACGGGGGTAATATGAAACGATTCTGACTCTACTGTTCTAATATTAACTGCAAAATAACTTTTGGGGCATTGTTTAGACCGTTAAACTCAAAAGTGCAGAATAATATTAAAAAGAAAAATCCAAGACTACTTTAAAAAAATTACTCCGGCCACTCTGGGGCAAATGTAAACATATATCACGAAACAGGTTCAAGAGAATGCATTTTCTTGAGGGGAATATGTGAACAATAGCCTTATAACCTAGTAGTAAGCTTGAAAAAAACTCCATTTCGAATAGTTTATTCGACGTTTATTTTTGAAAACCTAGGTCCAATTTATTACAAAATTGTTAAAAAACAAATAACAAAGTCAGTATTAAAATAAAGAGTATTTCACGAATAAGGCACTTTATTTTCAAAATTATAAAATATTCTCTCGCCTTTCATTTTAATTATGGGAATAGGTAGAACTCCCAATATTTGCTCGTGAGAGACAAAACTATCATCAATTTGATTGATATTGAAATTTTGGTATGTTTCGTCAATATATTTGAGAGCTACTACTTTAATGTCACTATCTTCTACAGAACACAAGTATTTATGTATAGTCGTATTTTGTCGTATTTGACATGAACAAAATCACCATTTTTCAAATTTGATAAGTGCTCTTCAGAGTGATAAATTGAATCATCATCAATTGAGGAACGCTCTGTTTTTTTCTGCCTCTTCTTTTTTATATCTTCCTTTTTTCCAGGCTTCTTCAGTGTCTTTGACTTTTCCATTGTATTTGATGCTACAGTGATTGATTTTTGTTTCTTGGTTTTTCGCTCTGGGGAGAGAGAGCTGTTTTGCAGCCTGGATCAGTGGATTCCATGGAAGTTTTGCGTCCATTAATCCTTTGGGAAATTACTGTAATAGGGACATTATAATATTCTTGAGCTTGCCGCTTGTTGTGGTTCTGAACATCTGTCACGGAATTAATGAGGTCTTCTTTTGTATATGCTCGCCCATTTGCCTTGCGCACATATTTTCGAGGCATCTGAAACATTAAAAAAAATAAAAAGCGTGTTTATATTTACCCCAAAATTATGATTACTTTTGGAAAATTGTCGAAGTACCACTTACCTTGATAGTAATTCATATACATACACTTTTTAACACTTGTGCTAAACGAAAAAACGAAATTTTTGCAGAGGTTTGAGAAGCACATGCATCTAGCCAAACAAACTCGTCAAAACAAAGTAGTCCCTTAAATAATAGTAGCAGGGGAAATCTCCTCGAAGAGTCGCGGCGTTGGAATTTGAAGGTAAATTTAAACTCATTTTAGGTAGCGTTTACAATTGCCCCTATTTACAATTACCCCGGTTGACCTACATATATTTTGAATCCGATATTTGTAGATCTGGAGATCTGCGCCTAAAAATATCAACACAAATAATATATATCACACAACAATATCAAGTGGGTTAAAAATTTTCTTTCTAAAATATGGAATATTCGATGGTTTGGTTTATTCTTTTGGGAGCACATAAAAATTCGGGTACACAGAATTCCTTGTGATGTAGTAGAATTTCGGCAAAGAATTATTCTAGCAATCAATCGGAAGTGCCAAAAATCATACAATTTAAATTTACGAAAAAATTACCTATTTTCGATCTATTACTGTAAATATCTCGAAAACAAGTTGATTAAAATATAAAGAGTGTTATATAATAACGGGTTCTACTGAACGCTGATAAAATATAATTATTGGTGTTTTGCTACTAACCCTAGAAGCCAATGAAAACGTTATAAAAATAGATTGAACGCACGGTACTACATAAGACTTTGAAGCAAATATTGGAAAACAAAATGAGCCTTCGCATGTGCAGCAATTTCTAACCTCTGAAAATAGCTGATAATTTTTTTTTATTTTTTGTTTGTGGTTTGGTTGTATTTGAATCACAAATGCAAATGGTTTATCAGTTGTTAACTGACAAAATAGAACCAAAAGAACTTCATTGTATGACTTTGGACTTCCAGAATTGTTATTCTAATATAAACGGCGAAACGAACGCTTTATATTAAGCGCGATCAGTAAATGTTGCTTCACAAACTTCATGGAGAAAATATGCAACAAATAAGTCTCGTCTGCCACTTTCAATTTTACCAAGCGGTTGAAACTATATCCAGAAGATTTGTAAATAGTAAGAACAAAATTGTCAAAAAATCATAATTTCAAACTTTGTTGTTGTTATTTTTATAAACAACCGGGTACTTCAGATTTTTGCTTTTACATGCACGTGAAGAAAAGACAACAGTCATATCCTGCAACTGAACGGAGCAGTGATTTTTGTTCCTTTTAGTTTGGGTGAGTATTTTTAAAATATTATGATAAAAAATTCTATTAAATTCCTTATGCATTTGAATGGTACATTATGCGGTAAACGGCATTTGACTCACGAGTGTTTACTAAACGAGTGACTTTAAAAATTTTCCGAACGTGTTGTATACTATACTTTTTCTACGACCGTTGGTTTTTGGGTGCATTTTTGCAAACCACACGACATGACTGTCAGAATTGACAAACGTCAAAATTCAAAGCGCGGGAAATATCTCCGACAACATCCGATTGCTCCCAAACCCATACGGTAAAATCCCGGAAATGTCCGAAGTTGCTCGGATACATGGAAAACAAAACTGACGTGGTAAAGAGTTTTTCTGATCCCGTCTGTAAAATACCCAATTACCCACCGATCTAGAGTGCGGGAAGCGTCACTTTACCACGTCAGTTTCGTTTCCCACGGATCTGAACCACTTCGGACATTTCCGGAATTTTACCGCACGGATTTGGAAGCAATCGAATGTTTCCCACGCTTTGAATTTTGACGTTTGTCAATTCTGACGGTCATGTCAGTGAATGTAATCGTGTTATTTTGCGAAAATGTACCCAAAAACTAACGGTATTAGAAAAAGTATAGCATGCAACTTGTTCGGTAAACTTTTTAACTCACACGTTTATTAAAAATTTGCTCCGCTGCGCTCCGCTCGTGTCAAATAAACTCATGAGTCAACTCATTATTACCAAACGTGCTATACATACTATACTGTTTCTAACGACCGTGGCAAAAAATCACAATTTAAAAAATTAAAAATGATAACAGATGATCGGATTTCTAAATTTCGTACCATTCAAACGAAATATTTACTAGTTGTCTCATTTTAACAGTGTACGTTAGACAACGTTAGACAGAGAAAGATGTATTATTGGATACTTCGTATGAACAACGGAATAAAAACAATTTTAAAACGTCATGTTGTTTATTAACCTTTTACAATTGATCATTAAGTAGTTTATTTCAAGAAAAAGACTGTAATTGGAAGAAAAATCATCTAAGGATGCAGGATTAGATTTTTCAGATCGTAAAAGCAATAAAAAGCAGGTCCCAACCTTCAATTTCGTTTTGATTGTACTGATGAGACATGGATATTTTTGAAAATGATACAGTTGGTTTTCGCAAGATATTAATACAAAAACTGTAAAATCCACTAAAGTTCATGCGAACAGTTTACTTACTGACAAATCAACTAATTTTAATTGTAGCTCATGGCACGTAGTATTTAAATTGTCTGATATATTGCATAACATTTTTCTGTGTATTAATTTTTGGGTACATTTTTGTAAAACAACATGAATACATTCACTGACATGACCGTTAGAATTGATAAACCTCCAAATTCACACCGTGCTGTAAAATGTCTGAAAACATGCGATTGCTCCCAAATCCGTGCAGTAAAATCCCGGAAATGTCCGAAGTGGCTCGGATTCATAGGAAACGAAACTTACATGGTAAAGTGACGCTTCCCGCACGCTAGATCGCTGGGTAATGAGGTATTTTACAGACGGGAGTAGAAAAATACTTTGGAGCGCTAAAGTGTAATATGAATTTATAAACTTCGATGGTTTTGACAACTCGCGATCGTTCACATAGTAAGTCCGTTTTCTGGATGCCACCTAGAGCCCAACGATCCCCATCCCAATCCATCCCATCCCTCGCTAAACGCGCAGATGGGGGGGCCGGAGCTGACCTCGAGTCCCCGGCCGCCTCCGCGAGTGCGTGACGGTCGCGCGGGGGGACGGCGGGGTGGGTGACGATCGCGGGCGGCCGGGGGAAGGACGAGGGAGGTTCGAACCCTTATTCGCGACGCGACAGCTGCTCGCCGGACTTTGGCCAAATCTTTTTGCAAGTCCAACCATCGCACCCGCGTTGTCGTTTTATTGAAAAACGTATTTGCGCCCGAATGCCAATACCGTGCCTTCTATCTACCTTGATAACACTTTGGTTGGCTGTAACTTTTAATAATATCGAGGTAAATAAAAATAAATAAATAAAAAACCAAAATGTTGGGTTAAGTTAAGGTTTTCAAATTCTATCACATAATTGTTAGCAGCTAAGCTTGTTTTCCTAAATGACATGATTAACAAAACACTAATAATTTTCTGAGATCTCAGCCTAATGAGATTTTTATAAATGGAACATTGTTTATTTTATCCTTATTCAATAAAACGCGTTATTCTTATTGCAACTATATATTTTATTCCACTTGTTTTTGAGATACTGTTATTTTCATATTTGCAATAATAAAAATAAATCAAATCAAGTCAGATAGGCCAATTTTTTCAAATAAGAGGTGTTATTTTGAATAGCTATTTCGGTGGAAGTTATTTTTGAAGCTGATATTTCTTAAGTAGGAACCACGTTATTAAAAATAACAGAAATGTACAAGCATCAACGACGCATTGAAATTATTAAAATTCACTATAAAAATGGTGAAAATTTCGTAAAACTAAGTCAGTTTTGAGCGTGAAGCACCTTGTCGGTCCGCAGTACAGAAATTGGAAGAAAAATTTGGTCTGTTATGATGTGAAGAATAAAACCGGTGCACATCGCTCAATAACAATTGAGAATATTGGTGCTGTAGCCCAAAGTGTTGAAGAAAACCCAAGTTTATCCATGCCTCGTCATTCTTGGGAATTGGACATTCCGCAAACGTAATTACACCATATTTTGCACAAAGACTTGGGTCTTAAGGCTTATAAAGTTCACAGACGGCGCTACGTGCCACACAAGCAACGAAACCATCGATCTTTTACCGGTAAAGTGTCCGGACCGTGTTATATCTCGAAAAGGTGATCAGAATTGGTCACCGGAATCTTGTGATTTAACACCTTGCTGCTTCTTCCTTTGGGGCCACGTCAAAGATGGAACTCGTGAAGATATTGAGGCATACAGCAGTTTGCGATTTGGTGACTTAAAATTTTATGAAAAGCGTAACCATGGCGGCCATTTGGCTGATATTGTTTTCCATTATTAATGGCATAGCTTCCTCTTTACATTGAAACAATCATCATTTATTTCAGAAGATGCCATTTTTCTATGAATATCAAAATAACACCTCTTATTGGAAAAACCTATAGAAGGTTGACCGAAACAGGTACTTTAGAACTTGGGAGAACTGAAGAATTGAAGAAGCAGTTTTGAATTCTATTGATGAAAATCCTGAACTTAATACTAGAAAAATTGGAAATAATCTGAATATCTCGCATTTCTTGGTTTGGAAAATTTTGCACGATTTTCTATTTTATCCATATCATATTAAAAGTTTAAAAGCATTACTTCCCAGAAATTTTACCTTGCGTATTAATATTTGTCAATGATTTTTGGACAAAATTGTTATCCCTTGTTTGACCAAGAAATACTATTTACAGATGAAGCTAACTTTTCCAGAAATTTCCACAATAACCGCATTTGGGCCGTAAATGTTTTTGCTGGAATTGTTGGAAATTACTTAATTGGACCCTTTGTCCTGTCAGAAACGCTAAAGGGCCGTAATTATCGCCGGTTTTTAGAAGAGGATTCGCCAATATTGCTAAAAGAAGTACTACATGTAATTAGAAATAGGCTGTGGTTCACGCATAAGGGCACGCTTGCTCACTTTAGTGTTGCAGTAAAAAAATATTCAAATGACACGTTTAGTAATTGATGGGTAGGTCGCGGCTGACCTCAACCATGGCCCACTAGGTCCCCAAATTTAAATAGTTTGGAGTTTTTCTTATGGGGGGAACCTGAAAAGTCTGGTTTATCGCAACCCAGTTAACACTGTAGAAAAGCTGAAGGATCGTATAACAGTTTCCTGCAATTTAATAAGAAACACTAAAGGTATACTTCAAAGAGTGCGCCGCAATATGAGGAAAAGTGCTGAATCGTGAATCCTTCAAGGTGGAGGACACTTTCAACAACTTATCTGGATTCTATGTTTTACTTTTTTTCAAAATCGTTGTTACTACTTTATTAACAGACAATTTTGCAAAAAAATGTTAAAAGTAAGTGGTGTTTTTTTAAATTTTCATATTCATATTATCGATTCTTCGTTTATTATTTACCTTGTGGTTAGAATATGATGTTATATCATTAACTGTAAATTAATTGCAAACATAAAAAAGAACAGTCTTCTATTATATTTTTTTCTGAAATATACTATTTAGAGAAAAATGTTAAATACAAACGGTATAGACGAGACTAAAAAGATTTTCGTAATTTGGTGACTAGTTATTGCCATTTTGATGACCCTCTGCTACCCGGGAAAATGGACCCGGAAATCGCCCTTTTAATTATTAACATTCGATTAGAAAACATCCTGTTATACCTATTGTTAATTGGTTTGGGCAATACAGCCAGTAAATCCGAAACGGTTAAATTGACAGCTGTCATAATGTGATATAGTAACTTTTTTAAGAAGAGTAAGATTGCGTGTATGACATTCGTCAATCGTCTTTTTTTTATCTCGGACCTCGCCTTAATTTTCATTTTTCTTATGGTCATCATCTTGGATTTTTCGATTTTTGGAAAGAGTTTTGAATTTCCAGTTCAGTGATGTCTCGCATGCGCACAAAACTTTTTGTGACACATAAGTGTGTTAAATAATTTTTATTTAAAAAATATATCTGGGGGTAAGATTTCAGAAAATAAATAATATACATTAATCTGTTAAGCAAATTTGTCGGTACTGATTATAAACAAACATGAATATTTATATTAATACGTATAGATATCAGGAAATTGAAATTTAAACCTACTATAACTTACTATAATTTTTTTTGCTATTTTTAGCCAATTTATTTCTTCCCCATTTACAAGTATTGGTTTAGAAAAGATCTAAATGTACTAATTTTAGAATAGTCATTTCTATTTAAAAAATCGTCATTTACATAAAGAAATAATCATTTTCATTTTGGAAAACTTCATTTGTACTTCCGAATTTCTACTTAAATTCGATAAAGATTCAGTGTAGTTTAAAAAGGCCATTTTATTTTAAGAAAGCGGCAATCAATTTTTAAATTAATGTGTAGCTTACAAACGAATGAAAACTGTTTGTGATGCTCTATGTGGAAGTCAGTTGCCAAAGTGACAAAATGTTCGATATTTGATAGTCAATATTTAGCAAACAGACACTTCCAAATATATAATAATGTACAGAGTGTTCTATTTTAAAAAAGAAAAAACCGTTTATTCGCTTCTATTCTATCAAAGATATATTTAGGATGTTCCATTGTTTTGCATAATGTAATATAACATTACAAACATGCATTATATGATTTCTAAACTAGACATGATATTTTTAATATGACTTTGCTACAATCGAGAATACAATTGTTATTTTTAAAATACTCTTGAATAATTCGTAAATACATTTGATAAATCTAAAATAAATATTTATCTTTCTATAATAAAAATGCCATTTCTTTTTATAAAAGTGATACTTTCTGAAATACTTCAATACTGTTGTATAAGGATGGTAATTACAATATTTGACTAGTTTTTTAATCTACAGCGTAGGAACATAATTTGACAAATTCATGAGCACTAAAACTAAACTGAACTAAAGTTACACACAATAACTGTAATGAAAATAAATTAGCATTGATAGAAAATTGATTTATTTTGACACAGATGCCATCAGAACAGCTATTTTTCTTATATTTGAAGGTCCTTTTAACAATATATTTTTTTAATTTTCTCTGAAATTTTTTGCTTAAAGTTTAGTTATGCTAGTTTATTATCATGTATTTCAAGGTAAATCTAACAAATCAAAATTGTTATATAACAAAGTATGTCATTTCGGGTCCGTAAAACTTATAATAAATTACAACGCAGTACAAGAAATATGTCCATTAACAATAGGGTATTATTTATAACCTCAAAACTTAGTGCCTAAAAAATACATCCCGAAAACTTCTTGGATGTACTGAGAATGCAATAATTTTGACCAAAAATATAAAACTAAATCAAATAAAATATGATTTAAGAAGCAGACACTTCTGGAAATAAAAATCTCATAATAATGTTCATAAGTCTAAAAGAAAACAATTATTTTGCACCTTTTGTCTTGCATGTCGGCTCTAAAATAACAAGTAAGACCTAGTCAAATTTGAACCAAAATACGTGAATGCATTAAAATAAGCTGGTAAAAAACCACCGTACAAGCTACGATTGCAGGGTTGCAGTTTGGATTTGTGTTCACCATATAGCTATTAGATAATATAATGTACTTCAGTCAGAGCAGTTGTGCAGTTACGTCACGTACAGTGACGTAATTAAAAATTATCCGTATGTCTTACCTATATTAACCATAAGTATCGGTATGTCTTAGCTATACTAACCATAAATAGCAATTTCAAAACTGACAAACAAAACTTACGACATCTAGTACTGAACTGCTTTGACTGGACCAAAGAGTATAAGATGGAGGGAAATTATGAAAGGTAAAACGTGAAAAAAAAATTATTTCGAAATAGTTGAAAATTATTGAAATTTATTAAATGGAATGAAAACTGATAATACATAATACATAATAACAGAATACACATCTGAAAATACATAGTAATAAAAAAAAATTAATTATAATCTTAAAATAATGAACTAACCAAAACTATTATTATAACAATAATTGTATGCAAAAATCAGTTAAAAGCACGCTTTTTTTAGTAAATCATTTCATATACGATAAATTTTATTCTATTTAAAAACATAAGTTCTCTCATAATATAAAAGTTTTCTTAAAAGACACCTATTAGTTATAATAATAAAATTTTTCAAAGAACACAATCCTTTACTAATCACTGCTGAAACGGCTAAAAGTCTATCGCTGCGCTTAGTGATATGAAAAAATATATTTTAGTAAAAGAAATGTAGATACGAAAATATGCTTTAACGTATATAAAAATTAAATGAAACATATTAAAATATTTTTGCTTACATGACTACAGCAGATAACTAAAATATATATATTTTACTCAATCTTCTCCTTAATTTATTTTTTATTGATATTCACTTTGGTTTGATTTTTTGAATGGTACTTCATCCTCTATTTCTCCTCTTTGGTCGTCACTTTGCTTTGGTTTTTTCATTGGTATTTTTTCACTAGTTGATTTTGCGAATTTAGACAATTTCCTGTTGTTTACTTTTTTTTATGTTACAGTCTCAGTCTTTTTGAGATCACGTCTGATGAACCAACCATTATTCAATCGTTTGCTTCATTGGTTTATTAATCCAAGTTATCATTGCTACTAATGCACAATGGGCTATTTCATTTGTACGCTGTTCTCCATCATCAGCATAACCGTGGAACATGTCTTTGGCCGCATCATAGTGTACTTCAGTAGCGAAACTTTTTAGTCGAATAAAACGCTAACAAGACGATCCTAAGGAGTGCTTCTTGCAAACGTATCTTTCAGTTGATTTAATACAGTTCAATTTAATCCTGGAGTGGTGGGAAAATCTTTCTGGTATTCATTCAAAGTCATTATAGTTGGTATATGTAGAAATTTCGCCAGCAACTTATAATAAACAACATAACAAATAATTTGACGATGTATGTATTATTAAGTCAACCTCTTGCTTCATTTTTTGTTTTACAACAAATTTCTTCTCCATCCTGTTAATTCGGCTACACAATCGACCTATCGTTCTAGCCCCTTGGTGCAGCCTTAAAGATTTAGGCGTTGACATTTGAATTTTTCTTACTTTAGAAGGTACTAAATAAATAAAGTGCTGTTATCCATTACAAGCTACTGTAGTATTTTCAGTGTGACGCATTACTTTAAATCGCCATGACAGTACTTGGACACAATATTAGATGAGAGTATACGCGACCTTCCCCTCTATCTTATACTCTTTGGGATGCACTTTAAGGTAAAATTAATGCGCTGCATTGATATTTTCGTCATTGGTTGAAAACGAGATTTCTAATCTCGTGCATGTGCATGTTGAATGGACCTTCTTTCATAGTTGCTTCATAAGTAGCAGCAGCATTATCTGCATGGATAGTAGCTCTATGGTGTTTACACTTTATTTGATATTACGTTAATAGACCACTATTAATCCAAGTCTTGCAACTAAAGGGATACAGAGGGAAGTGATTACAGAGACAGAAAATGGAATTATAATAATAAAAATTCAGAGCCCTATAAATTTATCCCGTATTAATGTCACACACTAATTTGTGCTTTGCGTCATTTTCTTTCTATGATCTCCACACATTTAACTCTTTTTTTCTACGTCCTACTATAAAATTACCCACGGGTTTCGGTTGTATTTAGAGATATTACCCACAGCTTGAAATTTGCCGTTTATCAATTTTGACGATCATGTCACACGTCACCCGGTGAATGTATTCGTGTTGTTTTGCAAAAAACTATACTATGAAATACATTTGATAAACTTTTTAAATCGTTCGTTTATTAAGCACTTGTTCCGCTGCACTCCGCTCGTGGCAAATCAAAACTCAATGACATTTACCAAACTTGTGGCGTAATATTCCCTGAACATTCAACAGGATTTGCCAGGAATGGACGAACTGTCAGCGGCCATGTGAATTGTTGAACTCTTGTGGGTTTTAGTGATTCAAAGAGATGGTAAAAATATTCATTATTATTTATTAAAAAACGAGATTTGAAATGATCGCGAAGAGATTTGTAATTGGAGGAAACTCTTGGAGCTAACTTGATATAGTATATTATGCAACGAGTGCGCTAAACGACATTTGAGTCAGGAGTATATTTGGCACGAGCGGAGCGTAGCGGAGCTAGTGTTTAATAAACGAGTGAATTAAAAAGTTTACCGAAAGGGTTGAATACTATACTTTTTCTACGACCGTTAGTTTTTGGGTACATTTTCGCAAAACAACAAGATACATTCAATAACATGACGGTCAGAATTGACAAACGTCAAAATTCAAGGCGTGGGCCATATCTCCGGAAACATCCGATTGCTCCCAAACCCGTGCGGTAAAATCCCGGAAATATCCGATGTGGCTCGGATCCGTGGGAAACAAAACTGACGTGGTAAAATGACTCTTCCCGCACGCTAGATCGGTATTAGGTATTTTACAGACGGGAGTAGAAAAAATTATTTTATTTTCGGTTTTGGATTAAAATTATTTTAATAGTCTTTTAATATATAAATTTTAATCCAAATCTAAAAAATTAACACGTTGGGCGATAAAAACTTTTTTTTTATTTTTTTTATTATATTATTTTGAAGACGCAAAAATAAATCATTAATAAAAAATATTTGGTTGGTGCCTGATCTTGTTGGATACGGAATAATATTTTCTTAGATTAATTATAAATCTGCATTTTAGTGTAGTAACTTCTTGAAACAAATAATTTTTTTTTCTGAAATGTAGTTTTTTTTTAGATGTGTAAATGAAACCAACAATCTTTACATATAACTGGGATTCATTTTTTGAGAGAAAGTGAATTCTATTCATTCTTAATGGAAAAAATAAAGTAATTTAAAGCGCGCGTAGGTATTGCCGTCTCCCTCTTGCCAGGCTTCGGGGGCGAATTTCGGAAATTTATAGAGAGCGAACGCCTAAGTTTGGACCGGAGCGACACGTCCCCTCCCCCAACCCCGTCCGTTTCCAGGGATTACTCTGCCGCGATCCCCGGCTTCCCTCTCTTCCCTCCTCCGACCCCTACGGGCCGCCAACGCTCCGCGATCGCGGGTCTGCAACATCTCTCCCGAAAAGCGTCCATCCCTTAACGTCGGCCGCCCGCAGGCCTGCTGTCGCCCGTCGGCCCCCGTCCCCCACCCTACGAGACAGCCCCAACCCACTAGCCCCCCGGGATACCCGTTAGACGAACCAACGCTAGGCGGTGTGTTATTTGATTACTCCCTCGAATTCGGTGAGAATTCGGAACGAAGATTATTGGTACCGATTCGGGGAAAAATACACTCATTTAGTCGGTAATCAGGTACCATGCCTTCAAGTTATCTTGAAAACATTTTGATCGACTGTAACATTTTTATTTTTAAATATATCAAGGTAAATTGAAAAACAACAGGTAGGGTTACCAGTCAAGTTTTTTCCTAAGTCATTTGTAAAACAAAACAGTAACAATTTTCTGAGGTAGCAGCCTATTATTTATTCTGATTACAAGTGTGTAACACACTTTATATGCTATTCCATTAGCTGTTGAGATATTGTCAAAAATAGGAAAAAAAATAGGTGATTTTTATTTTATTGGAACATAAAAATTAAAGATGATAAGAGTTCTTTTCATTTAATGCAGCGATAAAAATAACTTAAATTATTTTGATATTCCAAATAAGGCCACTTTTTTGAAACACATATTTCGTAAACTTTAATTGTATGATTTTTGGCTGGTTGATATAGTTGATTGCCACTGCAGTGCTTTGCCGAAGTTCCACGACATTATCACAAGGATGCTGGGCACCTGATTTTTTCTTTGACTGCTAAGTCTAATATATTGGCGACGCGTAGCGGTTACACTTTTATTATTCTGATAGTTAATAATAAAATTAATAATGATGATAATAATAGTAAATGTAAATAAATGTAATAAATATGTCAAATATAAAGGTGAGTTTAATTATCGGTGGCAGAAAAATTAAATGCCAAAATCTCGAAGACAAGTGGAATAAAATATAAAGTAAGTAAAAAAAAATCAAATAGACTGACACGTTATTTAGGCAATTATATTTTGTTTTTTATTTACCCAGCAAAACAAAAGTTTTGTAAAAAGATAAACATATTCGCTAAATTATCTTTCATGCAAAATAATTTGTAACAAATTCAGAATTGAACACAAATTGGAATACTTGTGGCATTACACTCTCTGCATCTCTTTCTATCATTTGGTTCGAAACTACAGTAGCTAATTTTTTTCTCTTGTCCAGATGAATTTTAATTAACTATACAATAGCGTACCCTAAAAAACTTAAATAAATATTATAAATATTCTCTGATAATAATATATTTACCCTCGACTAAAGTGTTGAATGAATAAGAATATGAATACTGCTACCAGTTTTCTAATGTATTTTTAGCTGAGGCGATAAATCTTAAATAATAGTAATACGATTTAATAATTTTGATTACTAACATTACTACATATGTAATCACCTGTGTCACTTGTGTTACACTTGTGTATTTTTCTTGACCGTCTAGGTATTTTTACTCTAAGGCGAGAACAGTTTACTTTCCTATTCTCCTTGACCTTCTACGCTAAAAATTCTTTAAAATTTCTCAAATAAGTATCATCGGGTTCGAAACGTCGTTCGATGTCATCCGTTCCCCAATCGCCATTGATCTCTCTATCTCTCCATATCCCTTTTCTCTGATTACCCTGTCAATGCCCTCTCTAGAACTCCTTGTTGTCCTTTCTCTCTCTCTCTTCTCCCAGTAGGTGTCCAAGTCTGTTTAGGCAGTCGCTGATTTTCCATTCTTTGGATATGTCCGCACCACTTTCGTTGTTTTGCTGTTGATCGCTTCATTTAGGATTTTTTCAAGTTCAAGATTTTCCTGTCGCTCTTTTCCAGAAATCGATCTGTTGCCTCCAGCATTCTAATGGGTTTTTCTGTTAGCTGCCATATCCCACAACTATTTGTAACTATGCTTTTTATGATAGATAAATTAGCTGTTGATTTCGTCTTGTAATTTTTAAGACGCTGTTTACCATTGCTATGTCCTTCCTGCCTTGGGTATTCCTGTCATTGATTTATAAGTTGAGCACGATTTGATAATGCATACCGCCACACAACCCATTTCTTATACTCTTCGACTAGCTTTTAGGGTCGTCGTAATTTTGTGCCATTTTAATCTGATCATTCCGACTGATTGTGCTCGTGATCCCTCGATAGTTGTCACAGTTTCCTTTGGTACCTTTCTTCTGAATGGGGTAAGGTATGATGATGATAATTTCCGTTCCTCTGAGGTATATCTGCTGTTTATGCATTTTTGGAAGAACCTGGTTATGTGCTCATATAGCTTTTTTGTTTCTTACTTGATCAGTTCTGTGGGGATATTAACTGGGGTTAAGCAGATTCATTAAAAATTAAGTTATAATAATTATTTAAATGTTCAATTAAGTCTGAAAAAGATCGAAAAGAAGTCTTGTTTGTGCTTATTGCGCAGCTGATATTGGATCCTTCAGAAATAAAAATTATATCTTGGTCTGAGTGTTTTTTTTTTGATAGGTCGGTTTTAAGTTGATGAAAAATTCTAATTTGTCAGGTCAAAATAAAACATGTGAATCATAACCGAAAAATTCCAAAAAAAGCAATAAACTTAATTTTTCAGTTCCATATTATGCTTTAACAAATTAATAAGTCGCTGCTGAAATTTCGATTTTGAATAATAATTTAACAAAGCAAAAATTCAACGTATCAAAAGAAAAAGGACACAATTATGTCCCATATCCAATGAGGAGTCCTTCGATTCAGATTCAGATTCGCTAGTCACCGTTCGAAAATTATCGCATGCTCATAAGAAAAATTCCGGAATTTAATTTGGCACGAAAGTTTGAGGAAAATCCGGCCCTGTTCCCGCGGACCTTCGCTACTCGCCGAACCGTCCATGTAGCCGCGGGCTGTCGCGGCCATTGTGCCCCTGCCTGCGGTCTCCCTCCTCGCTCCCCCACATCCCGGCCGTCTCCTGACCACCCCCGACCCCTTGCCGCCTCCGTCCCCCTGCCCCAACCCTCGCGCGTCACCCGCCACCTACGACCACCGGCGTGATCTGCACGCTTGTGCGCGCGTGTGTGTATGTGTGTGTATGTCGAAGTAATTCGCAGATGCCCGTCTGCTCACCCGGATTAATTCGCCCTGGAAATGCATTGCCCTTATTACTTTTACAAAGGGTACCAGAAAACTGATGAATCTTTGTGTTCCGCCGCTGCACTTTATTACTAATTCGCCAATCTACTACCAATCTATTTTGCAAACCTACGGTATACTCGTATGATATGTATTGCCGATGTATTGTATGTTATTTCTTTAAAACCACATATAATATATATGGTGAAAAGTGGGTATGGTATGATTTAAAGTATATCATTTGGACTTTTGATGGCAATTATCGAAATATCCTGCCGACGGCAATAGAACACCTGACCAATCGGTACGGTACTGGAAGCCTGCTACATGGTGAAGAAAAAAAAGTATATGAGTGATAGAAGTGATTTTAGGATTTGTCAGCGCAGCTAAAAAACGAGGCGTGAAAACTGGAAGTAATATTCATATTCATGGGACATATTTTTCGAAAATTTTAGTTAAAACTCAGCCCATTGTTCTGAAATTAATTGAAGCAGTTTCAAACCTAAAGATTCACGAACAATTCAAAATGATTAATTGGAGAGAAGAAAGCTTGTAATGTGAGGAGATTTAACATATTTGATTAAGAAATTTAAAATTGATAGGAGAGATGCAAATGCATTGCATTGCATTTGAGGAAAAACGAGAGGTTGTAATGCTGCAAGTGTTGCTTGCCAGATTATTTTTCCAAAAATGAACAGCTTCGATAACGGTTTGGATGAACAATCATTTAAAAAGTATGTAGACATTTTAAGGACATTTAAAACGGGCACAGGACAATCAAACTCACAAACAATAAAAAGAAAAATTGAGAAACAAACATATTCAAATAAGAAGTAGAACATATTAAAATTGTTATTAAGTTTTTTTTATTTTGCAAGAAAAGAAAATTCTTTTTAGGAAATTTAAAATGTTCAAAATTCAAAATCCGATTGGTAAATTAACGTGGTGAAGTGTCTATCTTGGTTCGCAAACTGCTTTGAAGACACGTTCCAAATAACCTTTCCATAATATTTCTGGTATTTATATGGGCTGAATTATATCTGACTTATTTTTGATTTACTTGTAAATTCACACATTTTAAATATATAATAAAATAAGTAGATACCTGACAGCAATACTGGAGTTAAAAAATAATGTCTACAGGCATATGCCTATTTCCATCCTAACAAGTGAAGTACTTTTATTGATAACTGGTTATGATTTGAGACGGGGCGCTGAATCATAATATCCATTATTTCCATTTATGGTTCAGAACTTTCTTCAGCATTGTCGCCAACAGGATTTGAAATTTTTATGAGTGTAGTCAGTTAATACATCAAGAAACAATCTGGTGGTATTTAATTTGAATTCTTGTGCTAAGTTTGGAAATTTAACAAAATCACCTAATCGTTCTACAATTAATATTAGCTCCAAAATGGAATGCATGGAATTTTAAAGACGACTCATTGCAAAATGGAGAGCATGAGAAAACTACGATATCAGCAAGTCTTCAATTAGAGGAGGCAAAAAAGTCCGAATTACGGTATCTTTGTCAAATGGATTCCTTTGTTTGAATTGGCCCTTTTCAATGGATTTTCAACATGTCCGAGATATAATCAAATTCTTCAAGCATTTAATGCAATCTACAAAAAGTGGATAAATTCACAAAATCACAGTGATCACACACTTTGATATTTGCTTACTTTAGGATACGCCAAAAAATGTAATATTAGAAATTGATGCTAAAGGTAAATAGAATGCGTGAGGTTGACTTTCCATTCTGACAATTACTTGTAAGTACCGATTTGTGTGTAAAGTTGACTATTTTGCTGCCAATATGAAAAATAATTTTGTCCCCAAACGAGAACCTGAGTGCGGACCTGCTCGCCCGCCGAAATAGCTACCGCGCTGACCCTCATCTAGTGATCAACCCGCAGCTGTCGCGTCTCCGACAGGGATGGATTTAAGGAAACGCGCGGATTGTACGGAGCGGAAGGTGCCCGCCGCGATCCTAATGTCGATCGATAAGGATTCAGTTTAGTTGGTTATTGTGAGAAAATATCGCATGACTTTATCCTTCGGTCACTGTTTAAGCCAGAGAAAGATACCTGCAGGCCAAACAACCCCACGTTGAACTCGCTTATTGCCGCTCCGTAAAATTTTCCATAGCGTTAACAAAAAAAAAGTGCTTTGCGACGATTTTCATAGAAATCTAAAACGACTCGGCAACACGGCACTGCGAATGAACGGTTGGAAGCGAAATTCCTTATAGCGTGAAGAACCAGTACAGGGTTCCTAAAGATCATGTCAGTATCGAACGACACAAATTGATTCTTAAGATATCTCAAAATGAAAAAAAAATGTATTGAAAAACCACAATTAGGTTGTCCTTCGGGACGTCACTACAAATAATAATTTGGATTTAATTAGGCATAAATTAGTCTACAAATATATAAAATTTCATCGAAATGAAATTTAGGATACCTGCTTAATAAAATAGGGATTAATCTAGCCAAAACTAACCAAAGTAATCGTATATATTCTAGTCATTAATGAAAACTGAGCATGATTGGTACTGTGGATGCTTCGAAGAAGGTCATCCAACCAGTTAATTTTCTGGGGGCTTCTTCTCTGCTTCTTGAAGTTCCGTGTCATCCCAGGACATTGACAATCAGTCGTATGATCTTCACTTTAACCGCAGCGGACCTAAACAATGTCGTGGTGTACTTTCCATACCACTGAAGACGATTTTGAGCCAAGATATTGTTCATCGATCAGGAGCACTCTTTCTTTCTATTTTTCCTTGAATAATTATGTGTAGTAATTCATTGGTTTTTGATTTCTTGATTTTTCATTCACCCAGCACCCCAGATAGTTGTATGTTTGTACTCTCGCCACTATTTCGTCATTTGCGATATCTGTTAAGCTACTTCGTTTTCTTTATATTTTAAATCCATTAGTGGGCTATCGTCTATCACAGATGTTGCTAGTAAAATCGTGACCGTGACGTTAGTATGGTAAATCTTGATGCTTCTCCAGAAGCGTAAGCGTAGAGATACTTCCGTGTTTCACCTTTTAACCTACATTATGCGCCATTTTCTCTTGAAACAGAGATCTCCACGCATTTAACTCATTTTCCTAGAACATTTGACGGGCAAATTTTGAGAAAATGCTGCCTTAAACTGCCCCATCAAAATTGACACTTGTCAAATTGACGAACTGTCAGCGGACATGTTGATTATTCTACGCCGGTAGATCTTATTGGTTAAACAATTTTTTATCAACGCTTCAAAAATTATTGTATTATCAGAATAGTCAGAATCTTTATATATCAAAAGCTACATGAATTGTCTCTGAACCATTTAAAGCATATTAATATACTGTACATTTCACGTGATACTCCCATACTCCACTATCGGGCGAACAAGTATTCAATAATGCAAAACAGTAAACGGAATGAAATATTTTAAACTACCATTTTCATTATTATTTACCCACACAACGTTTTAACTGGTCAAGTATCTCCAGTCATGTTCAGATGACCATTAAATCAACTTTATGCTTAATGACACATGGCAGAGATGGCTGAGGTCATGCAGAGGTATTGTTTACAGTTGAGTTCACAGTAAATCAAGTAAAAAAGAACCTAAATGCAATTTTAGTCTGTCCTACGTATTAATCAAAACATCGGGCATAGGCAATATCAGGGTAATTAAAATGTGAAAGAACCAAAAACTCACATTGCTCTTTTTTAATGACTGTTTTTGTATAAATTTCTGAATAAATTTACTGTACGAAACCTGAAAGAGATCTGTTTGAACAAGTATATTCCTCCCAATGTCAACCTCCTCCAAAGCCTCCTAAAAACCATCATTAATAATATTATGTCAGTACGAGCTATTGCAATTGTCGGTTTAATATTAATTTATTAATTATAATTATTAACTAATCAATTATTTAATTATTATTAATTTAGCAAAAAAAAAAGTTGTGAATCAGCGCTAAAGGCAAAAGAAAAAAAAGTGTCTAATAAGCTTGCATTTGCATAAATTTCACCCCAGGCATTTAGGAAAACACTGAAACAAGTCCTCTTTTGGCTATTTCTCCTGAACATTTTTATTCTTTAAAATTCAGGTACAGATAAAAAAGAAGTGTATACATAAATTTTCGATTGTTCAAATCTGAAAGGTTCGCTGCAGGGACAGTTTAATGGCGCGCCATTTAATTCGACACCCTCAATTTATGAGTGTTTCAGTTTCATTTGATTTATTTTTTTGTAGTTTGTGTTTTGATAAATCTTAAATTTGTAGGCGAACGGATAAAACGTGATGAGCGAGGAAGTCTATTTGTCTTTCTGCGGTCGTATTACGACCCCCCAAAGTGTCCCCGCGTCGCATCTCGAGTAACCGTACACCGTCGTTGTTCGCGAACGCTCGAACGAACCACCCTGTACCGGGTGGTCAATTAAGAAGAGCACTCGGCACTATCTGGAAAACTAATTGTCGTAACGACTTGGAGTGAAAAATATATAACCAAAGCGATCAAGAAAAAGGGCTAGAAATTATTTTTAAGTTTCTAAAATAACCGCCAGAGGGGATATTAGTACTCTTGATTGTTAAATGCCGTTTTTCGACAAATTATGTTACAGATAACTAAAATGTTGGGAAAGATTAGATTCTTTTTCCTAGAATAGGTTTTGCTTTATCTCATAATATTTGTATATACAGGGTTATTCATGGTCAGTGTCCAATTAGATGTTTTTGGAGAATGACTTACGGTAAAAACCTGAAATATTATGTATGCGGTGTTGCCAAATATATTCGTAACGTATATCAGCTTTCGTTTTTTAAATTGAACACCCTGTATATTATTACATTTTGAGATTCTGTGAAACATTCTGGACTTTTTTATGTAACATGTACCATACCTATCTTGAACATTTTCGGAGATAAAAAATACTTTTTAAGAAAATTGGAAACGCACAACCCGATATAAAAATTTTTTTTTGGCAACCCGTACAGCTAAACTCTTAAATTTTTGGTTGCAGTTCCTTATTAAATTGCATTATCATAATATAGTCTCAGAATGAACTTGTCACGTTGAGGGCGTTTATTTTAAATGGAACACCTCATATTTGGGTAGCAGGCTCTGGCCGGTCATGTAACAGCGAAACTGGAAGAAAATACATACGCCAACAAAAATGTTATATTCGTAGAAACTGTTCATAAAACTAATGTTAAAAACCAATAAACGTGGAAATTTTGACTCCTAATAATTTTGAATATTTCTCAGTCTTTTTGTTTTCTAACCAATATCATTTCGCAAAACTTTACGCTTAAATGATGCATCACGAGGGAGAAGAGATTATAATGTAGTTATTTTGTAATTTTGAGTATTATGTTTCTATTCATCTTCAGCGCTCGAAATAGACGCATGTGGAAATGCCTGAAAATATGCTGGTTCCATTTTCTTCTGATTTTGTAACAGATTTTTGGAAGTTCCCTTCTTCCTAGGTTACGAAAATTTGCTTCAATTATTTTAAACTTTTTCTCGTACATTGGTGGCAAATGCGGATATTGTTCGTTAAATTTTCTGCACGTTCTTGAACTTAACACTCATCATAAATGTAAAACAAATTCAAAATATCTGCGTATGCATAATTATCTTGCTTTCTCAAATAAATGCAACTTTTAACTATGAAAAAAAACCAGTGAAAAAAGAATTACCATACTATGGCATTTTTAGATGGCAAATTAATTGCTCATTTAATTGTCATTATAATATATGGGGTGTCACCTATAAAATTCCCACCTAACAAGTATTGCCATTTGGGCCTTATTTTATGAACGAACGAACGCAATAAGTTAATTCTCATAATAAATAAATTTCTTAAAAAGAATTTTTTATCGAAAATATTCAAGATGGGTATGGTACATGTTACATAAAAAAATTCTAGAATGTTCCGACGAATCTAAAAATCTAATAATATGCAGAGCGATCCATCTAAAAAACGAAAGTTGATATACGTTACGAGTAGATCTGGCAACAGCGAATGGTCAAAAATATTTTACAAAGGTAGCTCATATTTGCTTACATAAGTAACCAGCATTTCAGGTATTTACCGTAACTCATTCTCCATAAACGTCTGATTGGACGCTCACTGTGAATAACCCTGTAGACAGTGAATAGCTAAAATATGCAACAAATTCATTTGAAAATCAGGTATTTTATTTCAATAAAAATGCTAGCACACTTCCATCGTGTTTTTTTTGGAGGAAACCGGAAATACAAGGTGTGTCAAAAAGTAGATATCGTCCGTACATAGATGTAAGAATGTGATCAATTGCTTTTGAATGGGATTATCCAAGGGTGGTCATTAACGTACATTGCAACAAGATTATTACCTAGTTTCGGAATTTAAATTCAGGTAAAATTGTGGTCCGTAATAGAAAATAATTTTATACCTATCTGTGTTTAATATTTTTTGGTTTGGTATACTACTTAGTTTAAGTTTATTAGTAATCATTCTTATTTCGTGTGTAATATAGCGTGTGTTGAATCATGTGCGAATTATGCAAAATATGTGCGAGTCTAGTCTATCTCAGGAGATGCTCCCGCCCAAATGTAGAAAACACAAGGAAGTTATAAACAATGACATTGAAACATTGAACGCGGTGCCAGCAAGCAAGCATCTTTAGAAGAAACGGCCACATTGACGAAAATTCCAACATCAACTGTATGGAAAATTGTGAATAATCCCATTTCAGCGAGGAAAAAAAGAAGCGATACTGACATTTTCTCTAGTGTAAATGAAAGTGATCAAGATATAATACGGCGTAAAATTTACCAGTTATACTACGAACAAAGCGTGCCTACATTAGACATCCTAATTAGGAGGCTTGAAAAAGATGAAACCAGTTTTAAATGTGTTTTTAGATTTAAAAAAATTGACAAAAGGCAAGTTTTAATGGAATCTTTTAGAATTCGGAAATGGCGACTGGTATATATAGAAAAAAATTAGGATTTACAGAGAACAACAAA